CCTGTCCTGATAACGTGCGGTCAGATCCCCTACATTAGATATAAACCCAACGCTGTCTGAGCCTGTCCTGATAATGTGCAGTCAGATCCCCTACATTAGATATAAACCCAGCGCTGTCTGAGCCTGTCCTGATAACGTGCAGTCAGATCCCCTACATAAGATATAAACCCAGCGCTGTCTGAGCCTGTCCTGATAACGTGCAGTCAGATCCCCTACATTAGATATAAACCCAGCGCTGTGTGAGCCTGTCCTGATAACGTGCAGTCAGATCCCCTACATTAGATATAAACCCAGCGCTGTCTGAGCCTGTCCTGATAACGTGCAGTCAGATCCCCTACATTAGATATAAACCCAGCGCTGTCTGAGCCTGTCCTGATAACGTGCAGTCAGATCCCCTACATTAGATGTAAACCCAGCTCTGTCTGAGCCTGTCCTGATAACGTGCAGTCATCCCCTACATTAGATGTAAACCCAGCTCTGTCTGAGCCTGTCCTGATAATGTGCGGTCAGATCCCCTACATTAGATATAAACCCAGCGCTATCTGAGCCTGTCCTGATAGCATGCAATCAGATCCCCTACATTAGATATAAACCCAGCGCTGTCTGAGCCTGTCCTGATAGCATGCAGTCAGATTCCCTACATTAGATATAAACCCAGCGCTGTCTGAGCCTGTCCTGATAACGTGGAGTCAGATCCCCTACATTAGATATAAACCCAGCGCTGTCTGAGCCTGTCCTGATAACGTGCAGTCATTACATGATATATATACCCGGCGCTGTCTGAGCCTGTCCTGATAACGTGCAGTCATTACATTAGATATAAACCCAGCACTGTCTGAGCCTGTCCTGATAACGTGCAGTCAGATCCCCTACATTAGATATAAACACAGCGCTGCCTGAGCCTGTCCTGATAACGTGCAGTCAGATCCCCTACATTAGATGTAAACCCAGCGCTGTCTGAGCCTGTCCTGATATCGTGCTCTCAGATCCCCTACATTAGATGTAAACCCAGCGCTGTCTGAGCCTGTCCTGATAACGTGCAGTCAGATCCCCTACATTAGATATAAACCCAGCGCTGTCTGAGCCTGTCCTGATAACGTGCTGTCATTACATTAGATATAAACCCAGCACTATCTGAGCCTGTCCTGATAACGTGCGGTCAGATCCCCTACATTAGATATAAACCTAGCGCTGTCTGAGCCTGTCCTGATAACGTGCAGTCAGATCCCCTACATTAGATATAAACCCAGCGCTGTCTGAGCCTGTCCTGATAACGTGCAGTCAGATCCCCTACATGAGTTATAAACCCAGCACTGTCTGAGCCTGTCCTGATAGCGTGCAGTCAGATCCCCTACATTAGATATAAACCCAGCGCTGTCTGAGCCTGTCCTGATAACGTGCGGTCAGATCCCCTACATTAAATATAAACCCAGCGCTGTCTGAGCCTGTCCTGATAACGTGCAGTCAGATCCCCTACATTAGATATAAACCCAGCGCTGTCTGAGCCTGTCCTGATAACGTGCGGTCAGATCACATTAGATATAAACCCAGCGCTGTCTGAGCCTGTCCTGATAACGTAGTCAGATCCCCTACATTAATATAAACCCAGCGCTGTCTGAGCCTGTCCTGATAACGTGCGGTCAGATCCCCTACATTAGATATAAACCCAGCGCTGTCTGAGCCTGTCCTGATAACGTGCCGTCAGATCCCCTACATTAGATATAAACCCAGCGCTGTCTGAGCCTGTCCTGATAACGTGTGGTCAGATCCCCTACATTAGATATAAACCCAGCACTGTTTGAGCCTGTCCTGATAACGTGCAGTCAGATCCCCTACATTAGATAAAAACCCAGCACTGTCTGAGCCTGTCCTGATAACGTTAGTCAGATCCCCTACATTAGATATAAATCCAGCGCTGTCTGAGCCTGTCCTGATAACACGCAGTCAGATCCCCTACATTAGATATAAACCCGGCACTGTCTGAGCCTGACCTGATAACGCACAGTCAGATCCCCTTCATTAGATATAAACCCAGCGCTGTCTGAGCCTGTCCTGATAACGCGCACTCAGATCCCCTACATTAGATATAAACCCAGCGCTGTCTGAGCCTGTCCTGATAACGTGCAGTCAGATCCCCTACATTAGATATAAACCCAGCGCTGTCTGAGCCTGTCCTGATAACGTGCACTCAGATCCTCTACATTAGATATAAACCCAGCGCTGTCTGAGCCTGTCCTGATAACGTGCAGTCAGATCCCCTACATTAGATATAAACCCAGCACTGTCTGAGCCTGTCCTGATAACGTGCAGTCAGATACCCTACATTAGATATAAACCAAGCGCTGTCTGAGCCTGTCCTGATAACTTGCAGTCAGATCCCCTACATTAGATATAAACCCAGCGCTGTCTGAGCCTGTCCTGATAACGTGCAGTCAGATCCCCTACATTAGATATAAACCCAGCGCTGTCTGAGCCTGTCCTGATAACGTGCAGTCAGATCCCCTACATTAGATATAAACCCAGCGCTGTCTGAGCCTGTCCTGATAACGTGCAGTCAGATCCCCTACATTAGATATAAACCCAGCGCTGTCTGAGCCTGTCCTGATAACGTGCGGTCAGATCCCCTACATTAGATATAAACCCAGCGCTGTCTGAGCCTGTCCTGATAACGTGCCGTCAGATCCCCTACATTAGATATAAACCCAGCGCTGTCTGAGCCTGTCCTGATAACGTGTGGTCAGATCCCCTACATTAGATATAAACCCAGCACTGTTTGAGCCTGTCCTGATAACGTGCAGTCAGATCCCCTACATTAGATAAAAACCCAGCACTGTCTGAGCCTGTCCTGATAACGTTAGTCAGATCCCCTACATTAGATATAAATCCAGCGCTGTCTGAGCCTGTCCTGATAACACGCAGTCAGATCCCCTACATTAGATATAAACCCGGCACTGTCTGAGCCTGACCTGATAACGCACAGTCAGATCCCCTTCATTAGATATAAACCCAGCGCTGTCTGAGCCTGTCCTGATAACGCGCACTCAGATCCCCTACATTAGATATAAACCCAGCGCTGTCTGAGCCTGTCCTGATAACGTGCAGTCAGATCCCCTACATTAGATATAAACCCAGCGCTGTCTGAGCCTGTCCTGATAACGTGCACTCAGATCCCCTACATTAGATATAAACCCAGCGCTGTCTGAGCCTGTCCTGATAACGTGCAGTCAGATCCCCTACATTAGATATAAACCCAGCACTGTCTGAGCCTGTCCTGATAACGTGCAGTCAGATACCCTACATTAGATATAAACCAAGCGCTGTCTGAGCCTGTCCTGATAACGTGCAGTCAGATCCCCTACATTAGATATAAACCCAGCACTGTCTGAGTCTGTCATGATAATGTACGGTCAGATCCCCTACATTAGATATAAACCCAGCGCTGTCTGAGCCTGTCCTGACAACGTGCAGTCAGATCCCCTACATTAGATATAAACCCAGCACTGTCTGAGCCTGTCCTGATAACGTGCAGTCAGATCCCCTACATTAGATATAAACCCAGCGCTGTCTGAGCCTGTCCTGATAACGTGCAGTCAGATCCCCTACATTAGATATAAACCCAGCGCTGTCTGAGCCTGTCCTGATAACGTGCAGTCAGATCCCCTACATTAGATATAAACCCAGCGCTGTCTGAGCCTGTCCTGATAGCGTGCAGTCAGATCCCCTACATTAGATATAAATCCAGCGATGTCTGAGCCTGTCCTGATAACGTGCAGTCAGATCCCCTACATTAGATATAAACCCAGCACTGTCTGAGTCTGTCATGATAATGTACGGTCAGATCCCCTACATTAGATATAAACCCAGCGCTGTCTGAGCCTGTCCTGACAACGTGCAGTCAGATCCCCTACATTAGATATAAACCCAGCACTGTCTGAGCCTGTCCTGATAACGTGCAGTCAGATCCCCTACATTAGATATAAACCCAGCACTGTCTGAGCCTGTCCTGATAACGTTAGTCAGATCCCCTACATTAGATATAAATCCAGCGCTGTCTGAGCCTGTCCTGATAACGCGCAGTCAGATCCCCTACATTAGATATAAACCCGGCACTGTCTGAGCCTGACCTGATAACGCGCAGTCAGATCCCCTACATTAGATATAAACCCAGCGCTGTCTGAGCCTGTCCTGATAACGCGCACTCAGATCCCCTACATTAGATATAAACCCAGCGCTGTCAGAGCCTTTCCTGATAACGTGCGGTCAGATCCCCTACATTAGATATAAACCCAGCGCTATCTGAGCCTGTCCTGATAGCATGCAATCAGATCCCCTACATTAGATTTAAACCCAGCGCTGTCTGAGCCTGTCCTGATAGCATGCAGTCAGATCCCCTACATTAGATATAAACCCAGCGCTGTCTGAGCCTGTCCTGATAACGTGGAGTCAGATCCCCTACATTAGATATAAACCCAGCGCTGTCTAAGCCTGTCCTGATAACGTGCAGTCATTACATTAGATATAAACCCAGCGCTGTCTGAGCCTGTCCTGATAACGTGCAGTCATTACATTAGATATAAACCCAGCGCTGTCTGAGCCTGTCCTGATAACGTGCTGTCATTACATTAGATATAAACCCAGCGCTGTCTGAGCCTGTCCTGATAACGTGCAGTCATTACATTAGATATAAACCCAGCGCTGTCTGAGCCTGTCCTGATAACGTGCAGTCAGATCCCCTACATTAGATATAAACCCAGGGCTGTCTGAGCCTGTCCTGATAACGTGCAGTCAGATCCCTTACATTAGATATAAACCCAGCGCTGTCTGAGCCTGTCCTGATAATGTGCGATTTTCTAATTATATTTTGCCTTTCTGTCCTACAGCTTAATAATAATGTAATCCAAAATTGTCATTGATCCCTTCCGAATCCCTCCCTCTCAGAATGAATAGCCTCGAAAATGTGCCATATTCAAAGAGTTTGGACAAACTCACTATATTTATCCCTATCACATCATTTATTTATTTACTTTGATATGTAACACCATATGCTCGTGGGTAAGTCAGTTTATATTTTATTCATATTCATAATACACAGTTACTGAAGTTACACAATGTAATACTGCGTCTCTTCCCTTGTCATACGGCAAGAAGCCACCTCTATGGTAAATCCAAAACGCCCAAAATAGAGAGAGATTAACACTAGCAGGTAAACACCGAGATGCTAGGCTTTGAGAGTTCATCTTTGTTGATGTTCTGCACTAGTTCCGCTGAGCAATGATCTGAAAAAAATTAAATAAAGAAATCCAATGTTATAGCTCGGAAAGTAGAAAAGTGCGTGATATGAGAGAAAAAAGTAGGAATAATATCTCTAGCACTCAAAACTCATAGCTCTAGTTGGACCAAACAAATAAGGAATCAAATGGCTGCCAAACATAAATGGAATTAATAATTTATAGCTGGGTTTATTTCATTCTTGAACAGAACTAAAAGCTGAATTTACCAATACAGGGCCTCCTGATTTATAGCGAAACTCAACAGAAATTAGAAAATTCTGGAGCTATGCCTTGCTTGGAAATCAAAGAGACGCTATTGGAGTAGGGCAGAGCTTGGAGTTCGGGAATTCGAACAATCACCCAATCAGGTCCAATATTCGGACAAATTACAGTTTGGACCGCAAGAAATCTCGAAGTCTAATAGACACCGTGGATCAGAGAGAATGAATTATTGAAATCGGGAACGTGGATCAGAGAGAATGAAAGATAGCAAAAAGGGAACGTGGATCAGAGAGAATGAAATATTGAAAGAGGGAACGTGGATCAGAGAGAATTAATTATTGAAATAGGGAACGTGGATCAGAGACAATTAATTATTGAAATAGGGAACGTGGATTAGAGAAAATGAATTACTGAAATAGGGAACGTGGATCAGAGAGAATGAATGATTGAAATAGGGAACGTGGATCAGAGAGAATGAATTATTGAAATAGGGAACGTGGATCAGAGAGAATGAATTATTGAAATAGGGAACGTGGATCAGAGAAATGAATTATTGAAATAGGGAACGTGGATCAGAGAAAATGAATTATTGAAATAGGGAACGTGGATCAGAGATAATTAATTATTGAAATAGGGAACGTGGATCAGAGAGAATTAATTATTGAAATAGGGAACGTGGATCAGAGAGAAATAGGGAACGTGGATCATTAATTATTGAAATAGGGAACGTGGATCAGAGAGAATTAATTATTGAAATAGGGAACGTGGATCAGAGACAATTAATTATTGAAATAGGGAACGTGGATTTAATTATTGAAATAGGGAACGTGGAATGAATTACTGAAATAGGGAACGTGGATCAGAGAGAATGAAATAGGGAACGTGGATGAAATGAGGGGAACGTGGATCAGAGAGAATGAATGATTGAAATAGGGAACGTGGATCAGAGAGAATGAATTATTGAAATAGGGAACGTGGATCAGAGAGAATGAATTATTGAAATAGGGAACGTGGATCAGAGAAAATGAATTATTGAAATAGGGAACGTGGATCAGAGATAATTAATTATTGAAATAGGGAACGTGGATCAGAGATAATTAATTATTGAAATAGGGAACGTGGATCAGAGAGAATTAATTATTGAAATAGGGAACGTGGATCAGAGAGAATTAATTATTGAAATAGGGAACGTGGATCAGAGAGAATTTATTATTGAAATAGGGAACGTGGATCAGAGAGAATTAATTATTGAAATAGGGAACGTGGATCAGAGAGAATTAATTATTGAAATCGGGTACCTGGATAAGAGAGAATGAAATGGAGAAACATTGTCAGATGGAAAAGAAATTGTTCTTTTAGCTCACATTTTACAATCAGCTTCCTAATCCTTTTGGCAAAATAGCACACATTACATGCTCCAAACTGCGGATTGTATTTACAAGGAAACTAAACAAATTAAATTAAAATTAGGAAGAATTCACCAACTTTGATCTGATTTTACCCTCAAAAGAGGCTTTCTACTTACTATAAAACAAATGCCGACCAAAAGGAGGAAGACAGCCACAGAACACAGAACTATGAGAGCAACTCCCCATCCGGGAACTCCTTCGCTGGCTGTCGTTGTTGTAGGTGCCATAGTTGCTGTAGTTGCTGTAGTTGCAATGCCAAATCAATGGGAGAAAAGTCAGAAGTGAGTTAATAGTGCCTAAAGCAAACCTTTCACATTTATCTGAAATAAATCGTTGTCGTTGATCACTTAAGCAAAAGGTCCAATATGGCCTTTTATCTGTCTGTCTATCTACACTGAACACAATTAATAAATGCAACACTTTTTTGTTTCTGTCCCCATTTTTCATGAGCTTAACTCAAAGATCTAAGACTTTTTCTATCTATGCAAAAGGCCTATTTCTCTCAAATATTGTTCACAAATCTGTCTAAATCTGTGTTAGTGAGCACTTCTCCTTTGCCGAGATAATCCATCCACCTCACAGGTGTGGCATATCAAGATGCTGATTAGACAGCATGATTATTGCACAGGTGTGCCTTTGGCTGGCCACAATAATAGGCCACTCTGAAATGTGCAGTTTTATCACACAGCACAATGCCACAGATGTTGCAAGTTTTGAGGGAGCGTGCAATTGGCATGCTGACTGCAGGAATGCCCACCAGAGCTGTTGCTGTGAATTGAATGTTCATGTTTCTACCATAAGCCATCTCCAAAGGTGTTTCACAGAATTTGGCAGTACATCCAACCAGCCTCACAACCACAGACCACGTGTAACCACACCAGCCCAGGACCTCCACATCCAGCATTTTCACCTCCAAGATCGTCTGAGACCAGCCACCCTGACAGCTGCTGCAACAATCGGTTTGCATAACCAAAGAATTTCTGCACAAACTGTCAGAAACCGTCTCAGAGAAGCTCATCTGCATGCTCGTTGTCCTCATCGGGGTCTTTACCTTACTGCAGTTTGTCGTCGTAACCGACTTGAGCGGGCAAATGCTCACATTCGATGATGTCTGGCACTTTGGAGAGGTGTTCTCTTCACGGATTAATCTGTGTTTTCACTGTACAGGGCAGATGGCACACAACGTGTATGGTGTTGTGTGGGTGAGCGGCTTGCTGACATCAACGTTGTGGATCGAGTGGCCCTTGGTGGCAGTGGGGTTATGGTATGGGCAGGTGTATGTTATGGACAATGAACACAAGTGCATTTTATTGATGACATTTTGAATGCACAGAGATACTGTAAGGAGATCCTGAGGCCCATTGTTGTGCCATTCATTCACCATCACCTCATGTTGCAGCATGATAATGCATTGCCTCATGTTGCAAGGATCTGTACACAATTCCTGGAAGCTGAAAACATCCCAGTTTATGCATGGCCAGCATACTCACCGGATATGCCACCCATTGAGCGTGTTTGGGATGCTCTGGATCGGCGTATACGACAGCGTGTTCCAGGTCCTGCCAATATCCAGCAACTTCGCACAGCCATTGAAGAGGAGTGGACCAACATTCCACAGGCCACAATCAACTACCTGATCAACTCTATGCGAAGGAAATGTGTTGCACTGTGTGAGGCAAATGGTGGTCACACCATATACTGACTAGTTTTTGGACCCCCCCTGGGTCCCCATAATAAAAGTAAAACTGCACATTTCAGACCGGCCTTTATTGTGGCCAGGCTAAGGCACACCTGTGCAATAATCATGCTGTCTAATCAGCATCTTGATATGTCACACCTGTGAGGTGAATGGATTATCTCGGCACCTAAAAGGTAGGAAACAGGAGGGTGACTAAAACATTTTACATGTGTGTGTGTCTCTATGTATGTATGTATGTGTTCTGTATGTGGATATGTATGTCTGCATGTATGTATGTGTCTGTATGTGCGAGTCTCTATGGGTATCTCTTTTTCGGCATGTGTGTCTGTATGTGTATCTGTATCTGTATGTCTGTGTATTTGCCCTATGTATCCGCATGCGTGTCACTGTTTGTATCTATATAAGTGTCATTCTGTGTATCTGAATGTTTGTCCTTAAGTGTATGTGTATCTGCATGTGTGTATATATGTGTATCTGTGTGTCAGTGCTTGTATCTGTGTTTTTGCATGTGTGTCAGTGCTTGTATCTGTAGGAGTGTCATTCTGTGTATCTATCTGTGTGTTAGTTTGTGTGTCTGTATTTGCATGTGTGTCAGTGTGTGTATCTGTGCATCTGTGTCTGTATGTGTCTGTGTATCAGCATGTGTGTCAGTGTGTGTATCTGTATGTGTTAAACGATGTGGATCTGCATGTACAATAATCTGTGTTTGTTTATCTGCATATGTGTTAGTGTATGCATCTGTGTGTCTGTGTAACTGTGACCCCACCACACACACTGTCACCCCCTTCACCCTGCCACACTCCACAATCCTGTCACTCACCCATGCCATACTTACCTCCCATCGCTCTGCCATATTAACCCTATTACTCTCACCTTTTCTGGCACTGTCACTCTTCCCCCTTCTCCCTCTCCAATCTTGCCACATTTATTCTCCATCACTCTGTCACACTCGCCCCCTTTCACCCTGCCACAGTCACCCTATCTCATTAACACCTCCATCCCCCCCCCAACCATGCTACACTCACCCTGTGGGGAGTGAATGAGACACATGGAGGGACTGGCTGGGTTAGACATATGGGAGGGGGGATTTAGGGCCCCGTGGTTTCTAGTTGCACCTCTGATCATACAGTTCAATGCAATGTAACTAAACCACATTATTATTGCCTAGGTTAGTGGTTTGAAAAAAAACTATTACATTTTGTGAGCTTTAAAATAATTGTGAGTGCGTTGGATGTTGTTTGTTGTATGAATTGGCCCCGGCAGCATCCTATAATGTCTGCATGTTCAGGTGAGTGCAGCCTCTTGGGTGTATTAATATATTTGGGAGTCTAGGCCGACTCCCAGGGTTTGCACTTCTCCGTGTCACAGGTGCCTCATTCCAGGATCCTATTTAACCTTGACCTGCGGAGAGTCCGAGGAGGAAGAATTTCCCCCGTAAGTGTATCGGTCTCATATTAGTAGACATTAGGCTGCTAGAGTAGGACCTTGCCAAGAATGGGGTACATTGACGTTGTGGCAGGCTTATGTACATACATGGTCACATACAATAACTAATTAATGTTACCTAGGTGAGGTGTTTTTAAAAAGAACTATTACAATCTGTGATACTTGAAATGGCTGTTTAGTGAGTGAGTCCGCTAGGTATTATGTTATATATAGCTTACCTGAAGTTGTGTTACTTTGACATAATGATCCTGTATGGGATAAGAAACAATAGATTAGTTTTCAGAATTTTATACATACTCTAATTTATATATATTATTACTTTCTTCCAGTCCGGCCGGGTACAGGAAACAGAAGCTTGGGGGGGGGGAGGGGGGGGATGAGGGGTGGACACACAAAGGGGTTGGGAAGAGTAAGACACAGAGGAGCTGGGGGGAAGTAAGACATTAAAAGGGGTTCGGAGGATGTAGGAGACATACAAAGAGGGGGTGATAAGAGACACACAAGGAGCTTGTAAGAGATACACTAAAGGGGAGTGTAAGACACAAAACGTAAAGAAAAAATATACATAAAAAAATTATATTAACAAAATAAATATAATTAAAAAAAATAGCTGCTCCCCTCTCAGTCCCTATCCTACCCAACAAACCCTCTCTTCTACATTACACACATACACAATGCATCCCTACACAAACACAGACACACCGAAACATACTCACACAGCAACACACAATACATCCATTACACACACACACAATGCAGCCCTTGCACACACTGCATCCCTTACATACAAAAACACACAATGCATCCCTTACGCACGCACACACAGACGCGCACACACACACACACACTGCTTCCTTACACACACAGAAACACAATGCATCTCTTACACACACTGCATTACATTACATACACAGAAACACACTTTGCATCCCTTACACATACAAACACAGATTCACACAATGCATCCCTTACACACACACACACACACCCAGAAACACACAATGCATTACTTACGTACAAACACGCACTGCATCCCTTACACAAACTGGTATCCCTATACACTACATTCCATAAGAACACGCACACATTGCATCCTCTACAATAACACATAACACATCCCCTACACACATACACTCCACTCCCTGTGAGCGAACTCATGGGTGGGCCATGTATGTGGACATATGGGCGGGCATTGTGATGTCACATGGTGGGCAGAGCATATGGGGGGCAGCAAAATTTTGTTTGCCTACGGCAGCAGAAATCCTTGTACCAGCCCTGACCTCAGATTACCTCCAGTTTATCTCCAGAATATCTCCAGGCATACACTTTGAAGCAGCGTGTGTTTTTTTACATTTGAGGGGGTGGAGGTTGTCAAACACAGGATCTGCCCCTGGTGCCAAATGCTCTAGTTATGCCCCTGACATCAAGACATGGGCTCTACATGTCCTGTGGTAAGTGGGACCAAAACAGCAGCAAATCCTTTAAATTCTGCAATTGGATTGAGATCTGGGAAAATATTTGACCCTTGACAAAGTCTTTTGATCTTTTCAATTGCCTATTTTACTTGCTTCAAACACAAATATTTTAAGAACTGACTGTTCACCTGCTGCCTAATATATCCCACCCATGACGAGTGACATTGTAACGATATAATCAATGTTATACACTTTACCTGTCAGTGGGTTTAATGTTGTAGCTACTCAATGTTTATTGCTATTAAACTACCTGAATATATCTCATCTACCTCGTTCCTCAGGAACTTGTATTGATGGAATATATCGAAATACCTCTGACATGTAAAATACCGGTATAATTATAAAGGACACTGAATACCTCCAGTAGGACTTGAATTCATACATTTATCTCATGTCCCTGCCATGATGAGTAACACAAGAGACATATTTAAGTATCTTTGCTGAAACCCCACTATATATCCAACAATACGAAGGCTGACATTGAAGGTTCTGTAAAGAGATCTTCATATTACATTTGAATTACACTTAGCTATAGACTACACAATATAAATACATGATGACCACTCAGTGAACGATACAATCTTTCTAAACGATCACCAGACACAGAAAACTCACCAGTAAACTGGAGTGAGAGAATGAGCAGGATTGCGATGGAAGTGTTCATCTTGAGTTGATCTTCCCCAATCAATGTGCACACAATATTCTGCCAGACATTTAAATAGCTCTCTCTGAATACTCCCAAGGAGGGAGTACCTCACAGAGGCTGCTCAGAGGAACAGGTTTATGCCTTGCCCATGAATCAGCTCCACAGAATATATCATCTTACTGAATATTGATGGAAGGCCAACGTCATCTTGATCTCGTTCAGTTTTGGAATCTAGAAGAATTGTAACATTCCTAACATAGCTGATAGCTATAGTGTATATTGATATGTAAACAGAACCTCATGTGCGACCATTCTTTCCAAATATTAGGCAACCCTTTTATTGACTAGATCCCCAAGTCTGAAATACTCGGTTGCTGAATTATGACCTGAGAACTGTCTGGTTAAGTTTACAGAATAAAAAGTTAAATAAATGATTATAGATTTACTCAAATAATTTTACACATGCTGGATACATTGAAAACGTAGTATTGTTAATTTACTGAACCCAATAGACTATAATGTCATATTATAATGATGTGGATTTGTCAATATAACACAGTATAGCAGTAACTGTTCACATTCAAGATATATATCTTTAGGGGTATTGCCCAGGGACACTTACTGGTAATACGACCTGACCAAGATCTGAATCTGGGTTTCCACTTCCAAAGCAGTGACGTTACTAGTTACAGTTGTGACCCCTGTAACTGTGGGTCGTACCAGCCCAGCACCCTCGGTTGCCGGGTGACCAGCAGGAGGTGGAGTGAACAGCGCTCACCCTCTCTGCCAGTCACAACAAGTAGTGTGGCCGAGCTGACCGGAGTAGAGGGTCTCACAGGAAGTGCTCACTGAAAGAGCAGGCACAGAGGGCAACAGGGGATTGACATGGGGCAGGATTTGGTGGATTGACACATGGAGGGACACAGAGGTTAATTGACACATGGAGGGAAGGTGGGGATTGACACATGGAGGGACGGTGGGGATTGACACATGGAGTGACTAGGGAGAAATTGACACATGGAATGGACTGGGGGGGAATTAAGTCACATGAAGGGGCTGGGGTAAATTGACACATGGAGGGACTGGTGATGAAGTGACACATGGAAGGACTGGGGGGGAACTGAGTCACATGGTGGGGCTGGGGTAAATTGACACATGGAGGGATTGGGGGGAATTGAGACACATGGAAGAGACACGGGATGAATTGACACATGGAAGGGACTGGGGGGAATTGAGACACATGGAGGGGCTGGGGTAAATTGACACATGGACACATGGAGGGATTGGGGGGAATTGAGACACATGGAAGAGACACAGGAGGAATTGACTGGGGGTAACTGAGTCACATGAAGGGGCTGGGGTAAATTGACACATGGAGGGATTGGGGGGAATTGAGACACATGGAAGAGACACAGGATGAATTAACACATTGAATGGACTGGGGGGAATTGAGTCACATGGAGGGGATGGGGTAAATTGACACATGGATGGATTGGAACCTCATGTGCGACCATTCTTTCCAAATATTAGGCAACCCTTTTATTGACTAGATCCCCAAGTCTGAAATACTCGGTTGCTGAATTATGACCTGAGAGCTGTCTGGTTAAGTTTACAGAATAAAAAGTTAAATAAATGATTATAGATTTACTCAAATAATTTTACACTTGCTGGATACATTGAAAATGTAGTATTGTTAATTTACTGAACCCAATAGACTATAATGTCATATTATAATGATGTGGATTTGTCAATATAACACAGTATAGCAGTAACTGTTCACATTCAAGATATATATCTTTAGGGGTATTGCCCAGGGACACTTACTGGTAATACGACCTGACCAAGATCTGAATCTGGGTTTCCACTTCCAAAGCAGTGACGTTACTAGTTACAGTTGTGACCCCTGTAACTGTGGGTCGTACCAGCCCAGCACCCTCGGTTGCCGGGTGACCAGCAGGAGGTGGAGTGAACAGCGCTCACCCTCTCTGCCAGTCACAACAAGTAGTGTGGCCGAGCTGACCGGAGTAGAGGGTCTCACAGGAAGTGCTCACTGAAAGAGCAGGCACAGAGGGCAACAGGGGATTGACATGGGGCAGGATTTGGTGGATTGACACATGGAGGGACACAGAGGTTAATTGACACATGGAGGGAAGGTGGGGATTGACACATGGAGGGACGGTGGGGATTGACACATGGAGGGACTAGGGAGAAATTGACACATGGAATGGACTGGGGGGGAATTAAGTCACATGAAGGGGCTGGGGTAAATTGACACATGGAGGGACTGGTGATGAAGTGACACATGGAAGGACTGGGGGGGAACTGAGTCACATGGTGGGGCTGGGGTAAATTGACACATGGAGGGATTGGGGGGAATTGAGACACATGGAAGAGACACGGGATGAATTGACACATGGAAGGGACTGGGGGGAATTGAGACACATGGAGGGGCTGGGGTAAATTGACACATGGACACATGGAGGGATTGGGGGGAATTGAGACACATGGAAGAGACACAGGAGGAATTGACTGGGGGTAACTGAGTCACATGAAGGGGCTGGGGTAAATTGACACATGGAGGGATTGGGGGGAATTGAGACACATGGAAGAGACACAGGATGAATTAACACATTGAATGGACTGGGGGGAATTGAGTCACATGGAGGGGATGGGGTAAATTGACACATGGATGGATTGGGGGGAATTGAGACACATGGAAGAGACACAGGAGGAATTGACACATGGAATGGACTGGAGGGGAACTGAGTCACATGAAGGGACTGGGGTAAATTGACACATGGAGGGATTGGGGGGAATTGAGACACATGGAAGAGACACAGGATGAATTAACACATGGAATGGACTGGGGGGAATTGAGTCACATGGAGGGGATGGGGTAAATTGACACATGGAGGGATTGGGGGGAATTGAGACACATGGAAGAGACACAGGAGGAATTGACACATGGAATGGACTGGAGGGGAACTGAGTCACATGAAGGGACTGGGGTAAATTGACACATGGAGGGATTGGGGGGAATTGAGACACATGGAAGAGACACGGGATGAATTGACACATGAAATGGACTGGGGGGGAACTGAGTCACATGGAGCGGCTGGGGTAAACTGACACATAGAGGGATTGGGGGGAATTGGGACACATGGAAGGGCTGGGTGGGCATGAGACACATGGAGGGGGTCCAGGGTAATCCTTGCACCGGGGCCCTGTGGTTTCTAGTTATGCCTCCGGACATTACCGCGGCTCTAACAAGCTGATAAATCTCACGTATTTAGATAATGTGCACAGTGAAAAAATGTGGTTTTTCAAAATCGATTTGTCCCCCCAAAAATGTAGTTTCTATGGTCTGAAAGTAGTCCATGTGGCATTAATTGTATCCTTGCAATCGTTTTCAGAGTAAATCTAATATTATATATAGTTTGCAGTACACTGCTAGGTGCATTTTCCTGTCATTAAGGTCACAGTGTAACGGAGCTCCTTGTACTCCGACTGAGTACCCTCCGTTGACGGATGCTCCTAGCGCTTCCTGAGGACTCCAAGCACTGCAGCAGACACCACAACCACCGCAGACTCCGCAACCGCCGTATGTTGACTGGAGTCTCGCCGTCTTCCTTCCACCCTGGATCAGCTTCTGTCCTCCAGGACTCTGTGGGAAAGAACTCTTCCTTCCACCCTGTATGAACCTCCAGCATCCAGGACTGTGTGGTGAAGATCCCTCCTCCAAGGAGAGCGTGTCAGGAACAAGCTCTTAAAAGAGCTAAGTGACTCAAGCTCAGGGGAGCATGCAGAGCATAGCAATCCCCAGTGTGATTATAACAGCTCCCTCCAATAACGAGACAAGGCTACGTTTAGAGGGATCAAGAAGAACTGTCAAAACCTTTATTTCCCTTGGGACCAGCCAATAGGGTCACCACAATAACATTGTTGTGAAACCTCAATAAAATCACAAACAGTCAAACCATATTAAGCAACACACAGTGACTTATCACAACACAATGGCACATTTTTAAAGGGGTGGGGGGAGACAATATTTAACAGTAAATATCTCACCTGCCTGCAGAATTAGCAATATGCAAATCTACCCGAATATGCAAATGAACCAGTCTTGCAATTCAGGTAGTGCATATTGCTGTTGCTACCAACAGAGGGCACTAGACCAGCTCCATAGCTAAACCCACCTAGTTGGTAGCAAACCTCAGCAATACAAGAGAGCAGGCAATACATTACACAGAACACACACACTATAAACAATTACATTACACACACCCTGCACCTATAATGGGTACAGGGTGACTAAAACATAAGATAAATAAAGCAGCCCACATAAATAGTCTGTCTGAAGGTAGACTAGGGGCTTTAAAGCCAGATACATGAAAGAGTCATAGTCACAGGGGAGGAGGCTGGCAAGTAGGCCTCTCCAGGACCAAGTGGCGAAGGGCACTTCGTCACACACAGGTCTAATGAGAAACAGAAATCAACAGAGTAAGAAAGAGAAGGAGCAGGTGAAATATCTATATTTATATAATATGGTGGTAAATGCAGCTACAGAGCTCACAAAGACCCCGATATTAATTTATTTAAGTTATAAACTCAGTGACTGGATAGCCAATGACTAGAAAGGGGATGAGCGTTAAAATAAGTAATGAGGGGACGGGCTTAACAAATGACTGATTTATATTATTTTGTTTCTTTATTTTATTTTAATTAGTGGCGTCAGTTTAAATGGAGTTTAACTGTTGCCTCTTTTGTTGATGAAGATACGAAGAATTGAAAAATAAAACACATCAGATGAGTAAGTAGAATTTTTATTTTTAATGGTGGTGTGGCTACAGGATTAGGGACCCCTAGCCACCCAGGATGGTGGTGGGAGGAAGAACAACCGCATGTCTACCACATTGTTTAATTACTTATGGCCACCACCCATGGGTGGGTTGGGTTTAACTAGGTCCTGCCCCCTGAATATTATATTACGGAGGCCCCACCGACTGAAAATGGGTGGGTGATGGAGGGTACACTCATTCTTCCTCCCTCACACTGGGATGCCCTCCAGTTTATTTTATTATATATCCCCACCTACAAGCCAGGGGAGGGGCATGGGGAACTATAAATCCCTAATTATTTAAACAGGCCCCGGCCCCATGGGAACAGGCATTTTGGTGAATGGGCAGCAATGAACCCAGTCTCTAGGCTTACAAGTTTAGTAGACATTCCCCTGGTGGGGCCACGGGGAGGTGAAATACTTTCCTTATCGTAATATGGGGGTCTTATTGACCACCATAGTTTAGTTTTATTTTTTTAATGTTATTTCTTTAACTATTTAATGTGGCGACTTGCAAACAAGTGCTGGCTAGCGGGCACATCATTAAGCCTGGCATTGCCAAGGGTTATTGAACTATTTGCCCGCTGTATAAATATTATTTAAAATTTGCGAATGTGTATCGTGCCTCATGAATTTTCTAAATCCTATCATTTGTTCCGTCCTTCTGAATTTGTTTTTAGTAAAGATGAGAATTACCATTGCAGTAGGAGTTTAGTTGTTTTTTCCGAATATTGTCCAACCGTCGATTTGTCTAATATCCGGCGTAGTGAATAACCCCGTTAATATATTACCTATATTTATTCATCGTTTTGTGATGTTTTCTCTCCCATATGAAGGCTCACAAGATTGAATAAGGTGGTTATAGAATGATGAACAGACAATATTATACAGATTATATATTCTAATAAATCACCAATTCTGTTAAAATAAAATATGGCGATGAAGTTGGATGTATTTCCCTAACCATTCTTCTTTTTTTTTATTATTTGTTCGTAAATCTATAAACCTTTGTAGTGTGTATATTATTGTATTTCACATATGCTTTACTCTGTAACATCCTGTGTACAATGGACTATAACCTATGCAGTTGTAACTGTTTTCTCCTGTATTGATTGTACATCATTTTATCGTACTCCACTGATGCCCTATTCGGCCTCTAAGGCATGTTAGCTAACTAAAAATTAAACAATGCATAAAAAAGTAGTGCTGAATAGCCTCTTAATATTTCTGACACACTAGTAAAGAACTGACACACTAGTAAAATGACTTATGACAGAGTTACATGGAACACACATTGGGACTGTTCTGCTGCATTTGGGACACTTGGGACATATGCTTTTATCTCTGCTAAATCTTTTCGATTTCTTTATTATGTGCATAGTATGCCTGCTATCATGATGACACACATATAATGATTCAATTATTACTATAATAAGTATTCATGGAATGAAAACAGATTAATTAGAGAGCTATTAATTAGCACTTTAAATAAACACTTGCTGATACAGTCCAGAGGAAGGTTTAAAGCATTTACATCATAGATGACGTCTGCCATGGGTATAGTTAGTAATCCCTCGGGCATGTTGGGGTCCAGATAGGAATGAGTTCCATGTTTCTCTTACTCTGTTTGGCTTCCTTTTAATATGTTAAAATAATTTCATATTTTTGGTTAAACTTGTAAAATCTTAAAATATCAAATATATATCATTTATCAATATACCAAAAAATATTAAAATATATTTATAAAACTATTAAATCATTTTAAAAAAATTAAACAAAAATATTAAAATCTTTGAAAAGTTTATCCAAAAAAACATAAAATTGTGTTTAAGAACAGGCAAGCACGAGAAAGCCAGTATGTTAGCCCAGTCTTATGTCTGCTGGCCTGGCTGACATTTGTATCAAATTGTATCAGAGATCAGACAGTGGTTCTTTGCGTATTCTCACTGCTTTGCTTCCGTGTAGCATCCTTTGACATCAATAAGGAGATTATCTTTAGGAAATACAATGGCTATTTCATTATTATATCCTAGTAAGTCCTTGCTCACAGGCTAAAGGGTTTTCGGGTTCGCACCGAACATTAGGTTTTTGGACCCCGGAAGCCATCACAGCCATGCCTACTAATGGCATGGCTGTGATTCTGTGATTGTGGTTGTTCACTGTTAAAAAAAACAAAAAACATTCCCCCCTCCTGAGTCCCCACCCACGACCAGCGAGTGAAGGCTTTTAAACTAAAGTGGGGCCTACTGCCCCCCCCGGCCCTCACCCCGAGCGGTGGGTGGGGGCCCTAAATACCAATAAGGGAGGGGGACCTATTGTCCCCCTCTGGCCCCCACCCCTGAGCGGTAGGTGGGGGCAATAAATAAATATTGGGGGGGTACATAATGTCCTCCTCCCCGGCCCTCACCCCTGCGTGGAGGGTGGGGGCCCTAAATAACAATAAGGGTGGGGACCTAATGTCCTCCTCCCTGGCCCCCATCCAGGGCCGGTGCAAGGATTTTTGCCGCCCTAGGCAAAACTAAAGTTTGCCGCCCCCCCCCATGTGACATCACAATGCCCCACCCATAAGATTTGCCATGTTAACTAACGCTGCAGTGCCGCCGTGTTTACATTCAAAGGCCTGCAGGGACACCAGAATTAAGCTACATTAAGCTGAAGTGGTTCTGGGGACTATAGTGTCCCTTTAATGTGAGGTAAATTAGAGCTTAGTGCCACGAATAATATGCTAGATTGCCTACTTACAAGCAGATGAGGATGATGATGGGCTCTAGCTGCAGTTTGGCTCCACTGGTCTGGTGTACAACAGGCTCTCAGGCCCAGAGGAGGCGGGCTGAAAGCTAGCCGGATAGGAGGCATGTGTGGGTGTGGTGGGTGTAGGTGTCATAAGTGGGTGTGTCAATTAGAGTAAGGGATGGGTGTGGTCCTTTATATACCAGTCATTTTGTCTCCCTTACCTCAGCCATCTTAGATTTAATGGCGTGGTAACATCTCTGCATCCTCCTGTGCTTACCACTGCTTGTCAAACGGCCAAGGGTATGGATATTGATGCAATCCTCGCTGCCCTCCGGGCTGAGGCCCTTCAAGATGGTGGACGGCACCTGCAGTCACAGCTAGTACGCCTGCAGGGTGCTCTTAGTGTGGCTGCTCCCTCTAATGGCAGCCCTGGGAACCAGGGTGCTGATCTTGTGGCTGCTCCCTCTAATGGCGGCCATGGGAACCAGCGCCGTCGCGCACGTCCCCCTGCCCGGTATAGCCCCTCACGGGAGGGTCGGGTGAGGGAGAGGAGTAGGAGCCCTGTTGCCGGCCCGCGCGCCAGTTCCTCCGCGGCCGCGGGCGGCACCTCCTCTCGCGTTTCAACACGCCAGATGGATGCCGGTCATGCCGCATCGCGGCTACCACCCCCCCCCGGTCTCGTGGGCTCGGCGGAGGTCGGCCGCGAGAACGCAGCACCTCACCGCACAGCGGGCACTAACCACCCGGTCGGCCTTGGCGGGATCAACGGCGGTGCAAGGGCGGGTGGCCCTCTCTGGTCGGGTGAGTAGGCCGCTGGTCGGCAGGGCTGTCTCCAGGGGGGTGGGGGTTCTGGGGCACGGCGCAGGGAGTATGCTTCCCCTAACTTACCTCTCAGCCCTCCCCCTGCTCTCCCTCCCCACTCTGTCTCCCCTGGAGCTGCTCCTGTCCCTGCGCCTGCTCCACTGTCTGCTGGATCTGTCCCTGTGGCAACTGTGTTGCACTCTGCCCCTCCACTTCTCCCTTCCTCCTCAGCTGCCCCCATCATGGCTGGGGCCCTTACAGGGTCTCCTGGGCCTGCCCCTCTCAATTTCCCTGCCTTGCCTGCTGGCCCACTCATGGCTGGTGCCCAGCTTGCCCCCCCTGGCCCACTTCATACCACTTTGCCCCCCATTCATCCTGCCACTCTTACACAGGGGGCCCATTGTTCCCCCACAGGGCCCTCCTCTACCGGTTTCCTTTCTACTGGGGTGGGTGGGCTGGGGTCCATCTCACCTGTGTTGTCTTCGCAGATTACTCCTGGTAGGCTCTCGGTTCGTTTTGCTGACGTTGCGACTGGTGCAGATCCTCCTGCAGTCGCTGTTCCAGCTGGGCCACCACAGTCTAGCGGCCTGGCTCCACAGATGGCTTCACATTCGGTTCCTGCCAGTGAGTATACTAGTTTACAAGGTTTGGGGTCGGGGTGTGTTAGCACAGTTATCCCAGAATGGGATTCGTTGCTGCAAACTATGCAACAGGTTTTACATTCCTTGGAAAAGGGCCCCCCCCCTTGGGTCTCCCCTCACCTCGACTTTAGATAACCAACTTAGAACGGGTTGGGCGACTAGCGGAGGGTCAGGTGTCCTGCCTTCTACTTCGGCTGTCTCAGGGGGGCCTACTGCCCTCCTTGAATCTTTGCCTGCCGCAGGTGAGCTCGGAAGCACCGTGGGATCAACAGTGACCCCCACTGCGGTTCAGGACTTGGGGGTCGCACCCGCTGCGCACGGGGCGGCTTACATGTGTTGGTCAGGCCCCCTGGGCCTCCATTTGACAGCTGAATTGCGGGCCAAGATAGAGAAAGGGGAATTTGTGGAAATTTTTTCTCTTCTCCCTATGGAGGACTTGCCTCGGGTTGATCCTGCAGCAAAGGAGTCTGAAAAGGAGAAAGAAAAGTTTCGGTATCGGAAGATACCAAAAACTTTTGGGAATTGGATCAGGGCCTTTTCTATCCTGGCTAGCGTTATAGGGGAAAAGACTCCCAACAAATGCTCTTCTCTATTTTGCTACCAGGATATGATCTGGAACGCGTGTCGGGTTTATGGAGGGTTAGGCTGGTGGCGGTATGATGAACAATTCCGCCAGCGCTTAGCGGTGCGCCCTTCCCTGAGTTGGGATCAAATGGATATCGGCTTGTGGTTGGCCATCATGACCCGTCCCGCTTCGCATCAGGGGGGCCTGTCGTCCTTTCTTGGGGGGGCCGGCGCAGGGTCCTCACCCTCCGCGTCGGCCACTCAGCATAGAACAGGTTGCTGTTGGCAATTTAACGACGGCCAGTGTAAATTTGGAGCAAATTGTCGCTTCAAGCACGAATGCTCCGGTTGCGGCGGGTCCCACCCCGCTTCTAAGTGTTTTAAACGGGGTAAGTTTGGCGAAAAAGGGGATGCCATGGGCGCTAAGAGCGAAGACGCCGGTGGACGTCGTCGCGATGCGTCCGTGGCTAAAACGTTATAGGAACAAAAAGGCGGCTGCCTTGCTCCTGGAAGGGTTTACACATGGTTTTTGGATTCCCCATCGGACTCGTTCGCCCTCAGGGTCGTGTCGGAACCTGCGTTCCGTTGCTGAACACCCGGGGGTGGTAAAAGACAAGCTGGCTAAGGAAGTGGCATTGGGCCGCATGGCTGGCCCTTTTTGTGAACCCCCCCTTCCTGACCTTCGGGTATCGCCGCTAGGCGTCGTTCCCAAGAGAGAGCACGGAAAATTTCGGCTAATTCATCATCTCTCGCACCCCAAGGGGGTTCCGTGAATGATGACATTGCGGCGGAGCTATGCCGGGTTTCATACGCCTCGTTTGATACTGCGGTTGGTATGGTTAGGGCCGCGGGCCCCGGTGCACTGATGGCAAAAACCGACATTGAGTCGGCTTTTCGCCTCCTGCCGGTTCACCCGGAGTGTCATCATCTGCTCGGCTGTTCCTTTGAAGGGCAATTTTACGTGGATATGTGCCTCCCGATGGGTTGTGCAATATCCTGCTTTTATTTTGAATGTTTTAGCTCCTTCATGGAGTGGGTAGTGAGAGCCGAGTCTGGTTATGACTCAGTGCTTCACTATTTGGATGATTTTCTTTGTGTGGGTCCCGCGAACTCCCCGATATGCGCACACATTTTGCAATCGGTAGCCGACGTGGCCTGTGGGTTCGGCGTGCCTCTGGCGCCCGACAAAACGGTGGGCCCTTCCCCGTGCTTGTGTTTTCTTGGAATTGAGATCGATTCGGTTATTGGGGAATGTCGGCTCCCGCCGGACAAATTGGAGGATCTGCGGGGGGCTGTGCGGGAGGCGAGCTCCCTCCGGAAGATTACTTTACAACGGCTTCAATCCCTCCTTGGCAAGTTGAATTTTGCCTGTCGGATTATGCCTATGGGACGAGTGTTTAACCGGCGCCTAGCGGCCGCCATGGCAGGAATTGTAAAATCATTCCATTTCATCCGCTTAACCAAAGTGCTCAAGGAGGACTTGGCATTATGGATGGTTTTCTTAGATGGGTACAATGGCAGGTCCTATTGGCAACAACCAGAGGTGTCGAATTCTGTGCTACACCTGTTCACTGATGTGGCAGGAGCATCAGGATTTGGGGCTATCTTAGGGACGCAATGGTGCGCGGAACCTTGGCCTGAGGCTTGGGTTGCTGCTGGCCTTACCAAAAATATGGCCCTCCTTGAGCTCTTCCCCATCGTGGTGGCAGTTCATTTGTGGGGAAAGGAGTTCAGGGACCGGCGCGTCGTCTTCCATTGCGATAACTTGGGGGTGGTGCAGGCCATTAATAATCTAACGGCCTCCTCCCCTCCGGTGGTCAGGCTCTTGCGGCGTCTGGTTTTACGATGCTTGTCATTGAACGTGTCATGCCGCGCTGTGCACATTCCAGGTGTTGTGAATACCACAGCTGACGCTCTCTCTCGTTTCCAATGGCAGGTATTTCGATCGGCTGCTCCGGAAGCGGATCTGGAAGGTCTCCCCTGTCCCGCGGAACTCTGGTCCCTTGGCCTGAACGAATAAGGGAGTGGATACGGTCGTCGGTGTCGGAGGCAACATGGGTCCGGTATGGTAAGGCGTGGGGGGATTGGGTCGCACTGGAACAGGATTGCGGTGGGTTCGGCTCCTCTGCCGAGAGGGTCCAGGGTCTGTTACGGTTGCTCTGGTTCTGGGTGGCTAGCGGGTGTTCCCCAGCTACGGTTTCAGGGAAGCTATCAGGCCTTAGTTTCTGGTTCAACTTAACCCAGGTACCCGATGTGACAAAACACTGCATGGTGAGGCTTGCGATGCGCGGTTGGCGGAAAGGCCGATGGTGCGGGATACTCGGAGGCCGGTTTCGGGCGCGCTACTATTAGGGATCGCCTCGGTTCTCCCCCAGGTCTGTTTTTCGGCTCCGGAGGCTAGATTGTTTTTGGTGGCGTTTACTTTCGCCTTTTTTGGGGCTCTTCGGGTCGGAGAACTGGTGAGCCCTAGCAGGGGAACCCCTGGGGGGCTGTTATTTCAGGACGTGTTTGTCACGGGTTCTACGGTGCAATTATTGTTGCGCCGGTCCAAGACCGACGTTTTTGGCAGGGGTAAGTGGGTTACCCTTCGTGCCATTCCGGATTCGGCAGTTTGCCCCGTCTCGGCATACCTATCTTACAGTTCCGGGCGTCCAGGTTTCTCTGGCCCGCTGTTAATTCATGAAAATGGTGCCTACTTATCTCGTTTTCAATTTCTCAGGGTATTTCGCCTGGCCCTTGATCGGCTGGGAATCCCGAGCAAGGATTTTGGGGGTCATTCCTTCCGCATTGGGGCCGCAACCGAAGCCTCTCGGTTGGGTTTCTCTGATCAGGCTATTCAGAGGATTGGCAGATGGGAATCTGGGAGGTTTCGGTCCTATGTACGGCCCACGCGGCTAATCGGTTCTCCCCTTGTGCTTTCTCCACAGGGCCCGGCCGTAGGATCTGGCTGATTGGGCATTCGTACATCTATTGGGCCCACCTGCGGGCTGGGGTACGCCCGGGTGGGACACGCCTTGGAATTCCTCGGGAGCTGGCGGAGGTCCGATGGTTTGGTTTCCGGGGCATGAGATGGGGCCAGCTCTTGCCGGAGGTTGTACAGCTGGCCACTTTCCTGGGGGCGCCTGATGTATTGGTGGTTCATTTGGGTGGCAATGATCTGGGGGTGCTGCCTGCATGGGGTTTGGGTGAAATGATTAGAAGGGATTTAGCGCGCTTGCGAGTTTTGTTCCCGCAGCTTTGTCTAGTTTGGTCTGGGATAGTGTCCAGGAACTATTGGGGGCGCGCGCGCGATCAAGGGGCTATTGAGCGATGCAGGGTGAAAATTAATAAAAGAGTGTCAAAATTTGTGCTCGGCGTTGGTGGCATTTCAGTGCGCCACCGAATATTTGAACGTGACGCGGCGATATATTTTCGCCCAGACGGGGTCCACCTGACCGATGTGGGGTTGGATTTCTTCAACCTAGCTCTGCAGGATGCGCTGGAACAGGCCATGGCATTGGTGGGGGGTCGCGCCTGCTGATTTAGGCTTAAATGCAGCTGGCGCTAGTGGCGGGTATGGTCCTTGCCGAACCAGTGGAAAAAGGAATGCATTGGACGAAGGAATGCTGGGTCTGGTCCCTCCCCTAACCTCGGGCAATGGTTTGGTATTTGGGCGTGCCCTCCGTGCCAGGAAAAGCGGCCAGGGGTTGGCATGGGGAATTGGAGGGCCAAGGTGAAGGCCAATTAGCTTGGACGAGGGGGGAGGGCAGGTGCCCGGGAAAGAGGTACTCAAAAGGTTATTATGGTTCGGTTGGCAAGGACGGGTTTTGAGTTAAATATATACCCTCATATTAAATATAATTTGAATTGGTTTTACTTATTATATATATAAATAAAGCTGTGGCCTGTTTTATACCACATTTATGTCTCTGTTTTAATTGGGAATGGGGAAAGGCGGGGGCGGGGTGGGTGGAGCGGTTTGGTTATCATAAGGGGCACCACACGTTAACCACTACCTGCACACATGGAGGCGGTTTGTAACTGTGGTCACAACTGTGGCTCCATTTTTGGGGGCCCTTTACACAGCTCAAGGTCTGGGCCCCAGGGTCCACCTTCATGTTCCACCAATGAGATTGTTCACAAGGGGGTGGAATGTGTAGGGAATGTCCTGATATGTGATATGTCCTGATATGTGCGTAATGCATTGTGTGAACCTGTGTTTGTATGTGTAAGGGATGCATTGTGTGTAAGGGTTGCATTGCGTGTGTGTGTGTGTCTGTGTGTGTAATGCATTGTGTGTTTTTCTGTGTGCAAGGGGTGCATTGTCTTTGTGTGTAAGGGGTGCATTGTGTGTGATTGTGTGTGTGATTGTGTGTATGTGTGATGGATGTCAATCTCCCCCCCTCCCTTGTCACTCTCTTCTCCCCCCTCTCCCTCCCTTGTCACTTCCTTCTCCCCCCTTGTCACTCTCTTCTCCCCCTGTTTTCACTCTCTTCTCACCCCTCCCCTCCCCACTCTCATTCCCCCTCCCCCATCAATTCCCCTCCCTGTCAATTTCTTTCTCTCCCCTCCCAGTCAATTTCTCCCTCCTGTCAATTTCTTTCTCCCTCCCTGTCAATTTCTCTCTCCCCCTCTTCCTGTCAATTTCTCTCTCCCCCTCTTCCTGTCAATTTCTTCCTCCCTTCCTGTCAATTTCTCCCCCTCCCGTCAATTTTTATAAACCCACCAATTAGAGTTCTCTGAGCCTAATTGCAGGGCGGGGCAAGGCTTTATAAGCCTTCCACTGACCTGCAGAGCTCAGTCTGCGCAGAGCCCTCCATGGGTGAAGAAGGATTTTTTAATTTTTTTTTTAAGTGCGTCGGTTATTATGGATTTTGATTTGTCCTTTTTTGGGGCTGAAAAAAGAAGATTTTAGAAGAAAGAAGACATCAAATGGTAAGTTTTATTTTACCTTTTTTAACAGTTACTTATTTAATGCCCCCCCATATATTATAAAGGGGGTAGGTAGGGGTTTGTTTTGTTTTTTTGGGAGGGGGGTGACTAGAGGTTTGGGGAGGACCTTAGGGTGGGGGCCCTTATTGTTATTTAAGGCCCCCACTCGCCGCGCAGTGGTGGGTCCAGGGGGAGGACATTATATCCCCCCCATATTGTTATTTATGGCCCCCACCCATCACTCAGGGGTTGGTGCCAGGGGGAAGGACATTAGGTCCCCCTCCACATTTTTTATTTATGGCCCCCACCCACCGCTTAGGGGTGGGGACCGGGGGGAGGACAGTAGGTCCCCCCCTTGTTGTTATTCAGGGCCTCCACCTGTTGCACAGGGGTGGGGGCAATAGGTTTTTTTTTTTTTTTTACAGTGAGCAGCCACTGGCTGCTCACTGTTTACTAGGCACACCCCTACTTGCGGTATAGCGAGTAGGGGCTGAATTTACTAATACTAAGTAATATTTACCTAGTATTAGTAAATGTGGCTGAAAGACCAATTTAGGTGACCAATTTAGGTATTTCAGCCTTTTGGTAGATAGCTCCCAAATACTGTGGGAATTAGAGAGTTATCTACTAAGCGGCGGCTTATTTTATGTTATTTTTAAGTGATTTCCCTATCCACATTTGTTTGCATAGCACTTGTCCTACTCTTACCCCCATTTTACTTCTTTTTGCAGCCCTATAGCCCTTTCCAGGAGTTTTTTAGAGCCATTTTTGTGGCCAAAAGTTCGGGTCCCCATTGACTTCAATGGGGTTGGGGTTGGGGTTCAAGTTCGAGCCCGAACCCGGACTTTTTTTCAAAGTTCGGGCCGAACCCGCCGGACCAGAACATCCAGGTGTCCGCTCAACTCTATTCATTCACCATACAATAATTTATATATATATATACACACAATTATATACAACTAATCCTATATACACCTAATAGATATAACTTGATAAGTGATAATAGAAAATATATACAGTCCGGTGGATCCACCAATAATTGATTAATAATTCATGCTGGAATAGCCGTTGATAGTCTGATCAGACAAGAACATATATCTTGTATTTCCCTTATGTGTATAAAAAAAATAGAAAAATGAAAAAATATCAGCAAAAAAACCTATAATAATAGAGTTTCTCTTTAGCAGCTTTGCAAATGATAAATTGGTTGGATGTCACAATGTGTTACTGTAGCTGTGTATATATGGTGCAGAACAATATGTATGGGGATAAGTATAATGCAGGCCGGTGACGTTCTGTGTGTCTTTTCAGTAAGGCTTTTGACACTGTTGCACATAGAAGGCTTATCAATAAACTGCAATCTTTAAGTTTGGATTCAAATATTGTTGAATGGGTAAGGCAGTGGCTGAGTAACAGGCAACAGAGGGTTGTAGTTAATGGAATATATTCGAAGTTTGGACTTGTCACCAGTGGGGTACCTCAGGGATCTGTACTTGGACCCATTCTCTTTAATATTTTTATTAGTGATATTGCAGAAGGTCTTGATGGTAAGGTATGTCTTTTTGCTGATGATACTAAGATATGTAACAGGGTTGATGTTCCAGGAGGTATAAGCCAAATGACTAATGATTTAGGTAAACTAGAAAAATGGTCAGCGTTGTGGCAACTGACATTTAATGTGGATAAGTGCAAGATAATGCATCTTGGACGTAAAAACCCAAGGGCAGCATACAGAATATTTGATAGAGTCCTAACCTCAACATCTGAGGAAAGGGATTTAGGGGTGATTATTTCTGATGACTTAAAGGTAGGCAGACAATGTAATAGAGCAGCAGGAAATGCTAGCAGAATGCTTGGTTGTATAGGGAGAGGTATTAGCAGTAGAAAGAGGGAAGTGCTCATGCCATTGTACAGAACACTGGTGAGACCTCACTTGGAGTATTGTACACAGAACTGGAGACCGTATCTTCAGATATTGATACCTTAGAGAGGGTTCAGAGAAGGGCTACTAAACTGGTTCATGGATTGCGGGATAAAACTTACCAGGAAAGATTAGGACCAACGCATTAGAGGCACAAAAAAATAATCCATCTTCACCCATGGAGGGCTCCGCGCAGACTGCAGACTGAGATCTGCAGGGCGGGGGAAGGCTTATAAAGCCTGGCCACGCCCTGCAATTAGGCTAAGAACATTCTGATTGGCGGAGCCCTCCATGGGTGAAGATGGATTATTTTTTTGTGTGCTCGTTTTTCTTTTTGTTTTTTTTTAATTGCGTCGGTTCTTATGGCTTTTTATTTGGCCTTTTTTGGGTCTGAAAAAAGAAGATTGTAGAAGAAAGAAAACATCAAATGGTAAGTTATTTTTATCTAATTTTTTTTTAACAGGTTTTTAGTTAAAGGTACCCCCCTCATTATTTTTAGGGTGAGGGGGGTAGGTAGGGAGCTAATATTTTTTTTTGGGGGGAGGGGTGACTAGGGTCCCCCTCCCTTTGTATTTAGGGCCCCCACCCACCGCTCAGGGGTGGGGGCCGGGGGGGACAATAGGTCCCCCCCTTATTGTTAATTTTAGGCCCCCACCCACCGCTCAGGGGTGGGGGCCAGGGGGGGACAATTGTTTGTTAATTTTGGGGCCCCCACCCACCGCTCAGGGGTGGGGGCCAGGGGGGGACAATAGGTTGTTAATTTTTGGGCCCCCACACAATAGGTCCCCCCCTTATTGTTAATTTTAGGGCCCCGACCCACCACTCAGGGGTGGGGGCCGGGGGGGACAGTAGGTCCCCCCTTATTGTTAATTTTAGGGCCCCCACCCACCGCTCAGGGGTGGGGGCCGGGGGGGACAATAGGTCCCCCCCTTATTGTTATTTGGGCCCCCAGTCACTGCTCAGGGGTGGGGGCTGGGGGGGAAGTAGGTCCCCCCCTTTTGTTATTTTTAGGGCCCCCACCTGCCGCACAACTCCTGGCGGTGAGCAGTAAGGCCGAAGTTATGCTGCAGCACAGACAGGCGAGCAGCAGCAGGGTGAGAACGCCAAAAGAGTGCACAGACGGCCCGCACTTTCTGCAGCAGCTCAAGCGCCAGGCAAGGAATGTACGGCAAACCTGTGAGAACCAGAGCTGCTACAAGATTTCGCCCATTATCGCACACCACTTGGCCGGGCTTGAGGCTCAGGGGCAACGACCACTCATTGGTCGGTTGTTCCATGCCTGTCTACAGCTCCTGCGCGGTGTGGGGTGTAGCGGATGGCACTGGGCTGTCCTGAAAATTACATGTGTATAACTGCATTCGGGTAAACTGATGGTTTTGTATGTGTTTAAATAAAGTGTATTCGTCTGATTGTTTGGTAGAATCATTCGAATAAACTAAGGGAATGAAACTACCGAACAATCAGACCTCCCCTGTGTGAAGTGTGCCTTCAATTACACGTTACAACAATGTTGCGAATGGGTAATTAACAAGCTATGCAGTAGGTCCTTTGTTCTTGGGGTGGCCGCCATTCGGGAAACGAACACGTGGTGGCGGCCATTTTAAAACTCCCGAACAGCGGTGTTTTGCCGTCGCGTGTCTGGAACCCAAATTGGACACTCGACTAGGCGAACACCGCTGAGACCTCCACAAGCCCAGTCCATTCGGTTCTAAACTACCGAACGGCCCCTCGTTCGGTAGACAGAAACAACCGAACGAGGGGATTCAGGCGAACCCTACCTGATCTCTGTAGCCTTAGCCTTTCGTGTAATCTATTCCCTTATACTAGGACCGACCGCAGGGGCCCATCACATGGAACCCAATTCGGCTGTTCTCTCCAGCGCGGTCGGTCTTTTTAGTACTTCCATAAATTTCCCGAACCCCTGGTCCGATCTGGGTGATTTTTGGATATGTTGCTCACCCAAATCAGAGCTTCCAGGGGATGTGCCATTTAAGGGGGTACCCCTAGGTTTAGGGGTACATCCAGAAACTGGGGGAATTTGTGTACAGTATAAGGGGATTATGAGTCAGGCTGAGGGGAGGAGATGGGTGGGAGGTTACTATTGCCTGATTGGGTACTGTAATAATTGATGAAAATCCCTCCCTTGCATGGGAGCATGCTTTATAAGGCCACTGTGAAATAAAGGTTTTCAGTTCTGCTCCTGATGCTGTGTGTCGTCCAGTTATTGGGATTGCTGTTGGGATACTGTTGGATTATTTTACCTGCTGGAAACCTTGCTTTGTGGATTTATAATCACTTGTTCCTGAGCCTCACTGGGATTTTAAGCGGAGATAATCTGTGGAATATTGTATCTCCGCTACATGGGGTGTTTCACCCAAACATATGAGTTTTAAAACAGCCTACTGTCGTTTTCCCCTGGCTGTGCTGAAGTTGGTGGTGAAGGTGTTTCACTGACCGGATGAGGAGGTGGTAGAGGAGGAGGAGAAATAATCTGAATAGGAGGAGGCAACAGGAAGCAAAGCTGTGTACCCAAATAAAGATTGTCAAACGTTGTATCCTGGAACTGTGTCACATCCGGTTACTGGGGAAATGGGTCTGACCTATTCTAATCAAAGGTGATAACCATCGGTTACCCAAGTCCCGCTTCAATTGGTGGCAAGCGGCGGGATCCCATGTCCCTGCCAACAGACCCATGGACTACAGTGCTCTAAAGTGACCTACACTGCAGGACTTGTGTGGAGCCAGGGGAATAATCCCTGGTGGGCATAACAAGGCCGAATTGACTGCTGTGCTCATGGAGGAAAACCAGGCACGCAGTGAGGTAACAAACCCCAGCCAGGGGCCGGAGATGAGGAGGAAGTGCGCAAGGAGGTGGAACGGCGCCTGGCATATTACCGAGAGCCACCCTCAGAGGAGATTGTCAGCAGGACCTTTTTAGAGGTGCAAGCCTATGTCCTTGCCAATAGACAGAGGTCGACCTCCATGAACCCAGATGAAGGAAGAAGGGAGCAGAGGGCACCAGGAAGCACAAGCACCCTGGCCCACAAGCTACCATACAATGCCTTCAAAGACTTCAAGGAAGCAGAAGAAGGCATCAATGACTTTTTACAAGACTTTGAGCGCCAGTTCCTACTCCAAGACTGGGTCACCATCCAGGCCAGCAAATTGGTGGGGAAGGCAGCAGATATTTACCGGGCTGTACCAGAAGAGCAGACCAGAGACTATCCCTTTATTACACAAATCCTCCTGGCCCGGTATGCGGTCACCCCCGAGCAATACCGCCAAAAGTTTAGGGAGACACGGAAAGGGGAGAAGGACTCCCATGCGGAGTGGGAATGCCGCATCACAAGGGCCATCCAGAACTGGCTCAACTCCCATCAAGCCAAGTTCCCGGAGGAGATCACCCAGCTCATCATGATAGAGCACTTTTTCAATAGGCTCCCCAACGACAAGGCGACAACGCATTCGTATGTCATCCATATCAACTTTCGATGCCATTTAATGTGACTACAATGGTGACCACGGGTAATGGGGAATCAGGGTTTGATTCCGGAGAGGGAGCCTGAGAAACGGCTACCACATGCAAGGAAGGTAGCGGGCACGCAAATGACCCACTTCCGATGGTAGTGACGACAAATAACAATAAAGGACTCTTTAGAGGCTCTACAATTGTAATGAGTCCACTTGAAATCCTTTAACTCTGATCAATTGGAGGGCAAGTCTTGTGAAGAGCGACTGACCTGTGCGTGCTGCAGCTGAAACTCCACTTTCGCCTGCTGCTGCTTGCACAGTCTCTCCAGCATGTGCAAGGTGGAGTTCCACCTTATGGGCACGTTGCATATGAAGCGATGAGCGGGAAGGCCAAAGTGACGCTGCAGCGCAGACAGGCGAGCAGCAGCAGGGTGAGAACACCGAAGGCGCACACAGCCGCTACAGTGAATGTCGCCTCCTGTTCCAAGTTGCGGATCAGTCTGGTGATGGCTTCTGGTATCCAGTACTCTTTTTACTGAAGCTGCATCAGGGTCCTGGTATGTGGCCGCACAAACCCTGCTGCTCAACACCAGGGGGCGTGCGGTTACCCTGCACCAGACCCTGCTAATCCATTCCTCACTCTGACTCCTTACTTCAACATCAGGCATACTGGGTCCCGGTCGTCCGACCGCCGCCCAGACAGTGTCTGGGTTCACTCACTGGACTGCGAAACTGCGAATGGCTCATTAAATCTGTTATGATTCCTTTTATGGCTCCATCTGTTACTTGGATAACTGTGGGAATTCTAAAGCTTTTGCACCCTGCTCCCTCTTATGCTGTGCTGGTGCCTCTGTGTGTCCAGCGCCTCTTCCTCCAAACAGCACACGTCACTCGCATGATCTTGATTCCATGTGGGGTCTGGACCTCATCATCCTCCACATCATCTTCCACCCACTCCTCAACCCTGCCCTCCTTGCCGGTCTGTACACTGCAGAAAGCCACAGCAGTTGGCATCTGTGTTTTTCCAGCATGTAAAATCTGCAAAGGACATATGGAAATTGTTTTAGAATTGTATCCATGCAACAGTTTTCCCTATAAACTGACCTCTCAGTTTGACTTGTGAGGGTATTGCCCCCGAATTACAATATTGTTATATTGGTATTTGACGGTTCTATTTGACTGTCAGACATGAAGTGCACACCCCAAATTTACTTCTTAGGATAAATAAAATGGGAAATTGTCAAAGTGCACTGTAAACACAGTATGTGACGCTTCTATTTGACTCTCAGATATGAAGAGCACGCCCCAAATGTATTATTTAGCAGTTTAGCACCAAAACAATTAGAATGTTTACAACTGCACTGTAACCGCAGTATTTAACGCTTCTATTTGACTCTCAGATATGAAGAGCACGCCCAAAATTTACTATTTAGCAGTTTAGCAGCAAAACAATTCAAATGTTTACAACTGCGCTGTAACCGCAGTATTTGACGATTCTATTTGACTGTCAGATATGAAGTACACCCCACTAATGTACTATTTAGCACCAAAAAAATTGCCTTTTTAAAACTCAGATGTAACCGCTGTATTTGAAGCTTCTATTGACTCTCGGATATGAAGTGCACCCCACTAATGTACTAGTTTGCAGAATTATTTCCTAATCTGTCTCTATCAGCGGAAGCATCCTCTCCCATCACTAATAAGAGCTCATGTGCGTGCGGCGCTACGCGACTCCAGCTTATATATAGAGGCTGGGTCACATGCTGCACTGGCCAATCTCAGCCATGCCATTAGTAGGCATGGCTGTGATCGCTTCTAAGGGCACACAAGTCAAACGTTTGTTGATTGGCTGCTCTGCAGCCTTTCAAAACGCGCCATTAAATTGTTGAATACTGAACTCCAACCCGAACACAGTGATATGTCCGTGTTCGGGTCCGGGGTCCAAAAACCGTAATGTTTGGTACGAACCCGAACTTTACAGTCCGACTTCGCTCAGCTCTATCCAACACATATCTCTCACTATAGAACATCGAATGTGTCTCTCTTATTATAGAAAATCCAACGTGTCTCTCTTACTATAGAGCATCCAACATGTCTCTCTTAGTATAGAACACGCAACACGTCTCTCTTAACATAGAAACATAGAATGTGACGGCAGATAAGAACCATTCGGCCCATCTAGTCTGCCCAATTTTCTAAATACTTTCATTAGTCCCTGGCCTTATCTTATAGTTAGGATAGCCTTATGCCTATCCCACGCATGCTTAAACTCCTTTACTGTGTTAACCTCTACCACTTCAGCTGGAAGGTATTCCATGCATCCACTACCCTCTCAGTAAAGTAATACTTCCTGATATTATTTTTAAACCTTTGTCCCTCTAATTTAAGACTATGTCCTCTTGTTGTGGTAGTTTTTCTTCCTTTAAATATAGTCTCCTCCTTTACTGTGTTGATTCCCTTTATGTATTTAAATGTTTCTATCATATCCCCCCTGTCTCGTCTTTCCTCCAAGCTATACATGTTAAGATCCTTTAACATTTCCTGGTAAGTTTTATCCTGCAATCCATGAACCAGTTTAGTAGCCCTTCTCTGAACTCACTCTAAGGTATCAATATCCTTCTGAAGATACGGTCTCCAGTACTGTGTACAATAATCCAAGTGAGGTCTCACCAGTGTTCTGTACAATGGCATGAGCACTTCCCTCATTCTACTGCTAATACCTCTCCCTATATAACCAAGCATTCTGCTAGCATTTCCTGCTGCTCTATTACATTGTCTGCCTACCTTTAAGTCATCAGAAATAATTACTCCTACATCCCTTTCCTCAGATGTTGAGGTTAGTAGGGTATCAAATATCCTATACTCTGCCCTTGGGTTTTTACGTCCAAGGTGCATTATCTTGTACTTATCCACATTAAATGTCAGTTGCCACAGCTCTGACCATTTTTCTAATTTTTCTAAATCATTTGCCATTTGGCTTATCCCTCCTGGAACATCAAACCTGTTGCAAATTTTAGTATCGTCAGCAAAAAGACCTTCTGCAATATCACTAATAAAAATATTAAAGAGAATGGGTCCAAGTACAGATCCCTGAGGTACCCCACTGGTAACTAGAACTTGCTCTGAATATACTCCATTGACTACAACCCTCTGTTGCCTGTCACTCAGCCACTGCCTAACCCATTCAACAATATTGGAATCCAAACTTAAAGATTGCAGTTTATTGATAAGCCTTCTGTGTGCAACAGTGTCAAAAGCCTTACTGAAATCTAGGTAAGCAATATCTACTGCATCACCCTGATCTATTATTTTAGTTACCCAATCAAAAAAATCTATAAGATTAGTTTAGCATGATCTCCATGAAGTAAACCCATGTTGTCTCTGATTTTGAAATCCATGTGTTTTTAGATGTTCATCAATCCTATCCTTTAACATGGTTTCCATTACTTTCCTCACTACTGAAGTAAGGCTTACTGGCCTATAGTTGCCCAACTCCTCCGTACTACCTTTCTTGTGAATGGGCACAAAATTCGCTAACTTCCAATCTTCTGGGACTACTCCTGTTAACAATGATTGGTTAAATAAATCTGTTAATGGTTTTGCTAGTACACCACTAAGCTCTTTTAATAGCTTTGGGTGTATTCCATCAGGTCCCATTGACTTATTTGTCTTTACTTTTGACAGTTGAAATAGAACCTCTTCCTCTTTAAACTCACGTGTAATAAATGACTCATTTATCCTTTTTCCTAACTGAGGCCCCTTTCCTTAATTTTCATCTGTAAATACAGAACAAAAATATTCATTGAGACAATCAGCTAGACCTTTTCTACATACCTTCCTTCTTTTGTTTTAATCTAACTAATCCTTGTTTTACTTTACTTTTCTCATTTATGTATCTAAAAAATGTTTTACCACCCTTTTTTACTGACTGTGCTATTTTCTCTTCTGTGTGTGCTTTGGAGGCTCTTATGACTTGCTTAGCCTCTTTCTGTCTAATCTAGGATAGAACATCCAACGTGTCTCTCTTAGTATAGATATTCCAACATGTATGTCTTAGTATAGAACATCCAACACATCTCTCTTAGTATAGAACATCCAACACATCTCTCTTAGTATAGAACATCCAACACGTCTGTCTTAGTATAGGACATCCAACACGTCTGTCTTAGTATAGGACATCCAACATGTCTCACTTAGTATAGAGCATCCAACGCGTCTCTCTTAGTATAGAACATCCAACACGTCTCTCTTAGTATAGACCATCCAACACGTCTCTCTTAGTATAGACCATCCAACACGTCTCTCTTAGTATAGACCATCCAACACGTCTGTCTTAGTATAGAATATCCAACATGTCTCTCTTAGTATAGAACATCCAACATTGTGCGGTCAGATCCCCTACATTAGATATAAACCCAGCGCTGTCTGAGCCTGTCCTGATAACGTGCAGTCAGATCCCCTACATTAGATATAAACCCAGCGCTAGGACAATAGCTCTGGCAAATGTGAGTTCTATATTATTATTCTTTTATGTTCACACCAGAATTTTATATACTACACTATTGGTCGCCCTTCTCTCTCCTCTTTTTTCTTTCATATAAGTGGAACCGCTACATTAAGAGAAGACGTCATTAGCAAAGACCATCTGTAAGGATAAAACATTGGGACTTTCCTTTACATTGGACTTTATTTCTACTTGTGTGCGCAGCCTTTCTCTTATTATTTTCATAAACCCAGCGCTGTCTGAGCCTGTCCTGATAACGTGCAGTCAGATCCCCTACATTAGATATAAACCCAGCGCTGTCTGAGCCTGTCCTGATAACGTCAGATCCCCTACATTAGATATAAACCCAGCGCTGTCTGAGCCTGTCCTGATAACGTGCAGTCATATCCCTTATGTTAGAAATAAACCCAGCGCTGTCTGAGCCTGTCCTGATAATGTGCAGTCAGATCCCCTACATTAGATATAAACCCAGCGCTGTCTGAGCCTGTCCTGATAACGTGCAGTCAGATCCCTTACATTAGATATAAACCCAGCGCTGTCTGAGCCTGTCCTGATAACGTCAGATCTCCTACATTAGATATAAACCCAGCGCTGTCTGAGCCTGTCCTGATAACGTGCAGTCAGATCCCCTACATTAGAAATAAACCCAGCGCTGTCTGAGCCTGTCCTGATAATGTGTGATTTTCTAATTATATTTTGCCTTTCTGTCCTACGGCTTAATAATAATGTAATCCGAAATTGTCATTAATCCCTCCGAATCCCCCCCTCTCAGAATGAATAGCCTCGAAAATGTGCCATATTCAAAGAGTTTGGACAAACTCACTATATTTATCCCTATCACATCATTTATTTATTTACTTTGATATGTAACACCATATGCTCATTGGTAAGTCAGTTTATATTTTATTCATATTCATAATACACAGTTACTGAAGTTACACAATGTAATACTGCGTCTCTTCCCATGTCATACGGCAAGAAGCCACCTCTATGGTAAATCCAAAACGCCCAAAATAGAGAGAGATTAACACTAGCAGGTAAACACCGAGATGCTAGGCTTTGAGAGTTCATCTTTGTTGATGTTCTGCACTAGTTCCGCTGAGCAATGATCTGAAAAAAATTAAATAAAGAAAACCAATGTTATAGCTCGGAAAGTAGAAAAGTGCGTGATATGAGAGAAAAAAGTAGGAATAATATCTCTAGCACTCAAAACTCATAGCTCTAGTTGGACCAAACAAATAAGGAATCAAATGGCTGCCAAACATAAATGGAATTAATAATTTATAGCTGGGTTTATTTCATTCTTGAACAGAACTAAAAGCTGAATTTACCAATACAGGGCCTCCTGATTTATAGCGAAACTCAACAGAAATTAGAAAATTCTGGAGCTATGCCTTGCTTGGAAATCAAAGAGACGCTATTGGAGTAGGGCAGAGCTTGGAGTTCGGGAATTCGAACAATCACTCAATCGGGTCCAATATTCGGACAAATTACAGTTTGGAGCGCAAGAAATCTCGAAGTCTAATAGACACCGTGGATCAGAGAGAATGAAATATTGAAATAGGGAATGTGGATCAGAGAGAATGAAAGATAGCAAAAAGGGAACGTGGATCAGAGAGAATGAAATATTGAAATAGGGAACGTGGATCAGAGAGAATTAATTATTGAAATAGGGAACGTGGATCAGAGAGAATGAATTAGTGAAATAGGGAACGTGGATCAGAGAGAATTAATTATTGAAATAGGGAACGTGGATCAGAGAGAATGAAATATTGAAATAGGGAACGTGGATCAGAGAGAATGAATTAGTGAAATAGGGAACGTGGATCAGAGAGAATTAATTATTGAAATAGGGAACGTGGATCAGAGAATTAATTATTGAAATAGGGAACGTGGATCAGAGAGAATTAATTATTGAAATAGGGAACGTGGATCAGAGAGAATGAATTAGTGAAATAGGGAACGTGGATCAGAGAGAATTAATTATTGAAATAGGGAACGTGGATCAGAGAGAATGAATTATTGAAATAGGGAACGTGGATCAGAGAGAATGAAATATTGATATAGGGAACGTGGATCAGAGAGAATTAATTATTGAAATAGGGAACGTGGATCAGAGAGAATGAATTATTGAAATAGGGAACGTGGATCAGAGAGAATGAATTAGTGAAATAGGGAACGTGGATCAGAGAGTGAAAAGTAGTTAATTATTGAAATAGGAACGTGGATCAGAGAGAAGAAATATTGATATAGGGCGGGATCAGAGGAGTGGTATTGAAATAGGAGCGGGATCAGAGAGAATGGGTAGTGAAATAGGGAACGTGGATCAGAAAATTACTATTGAAATAGGGAACGGATCAGAGAGAATGAAATATTTAGAAATTGTGAAATAGAACGTGGATCAGAGAGAATTAATTATTGAAATAGGGAACGTGGATCAGAGAAAATTATTGAAATAGGGAAGCGTGGATCAGAGAGGAATTATATTGAAATAGGGAACGTGGATCAGAGAGAATGAATTAGTGAAATAGGGAACGTGGATCAGAGAGAATTAATTATTGAAATAGGGAACGTGGATCAGAGAGAATGAATTATTGAAATAGGGAACGTGGATCAGAGAGAATGAAATATTGATATAGGGAACGTGGATCAGAGAGAATTAATTATTGAAATAGGGAACGTGGATCAGAGAGAATGAATTATTGAAATAGGGAACGTGGATCAGAGAGAATTAATTATTGAAATAGGGAACGTGGATCAGAGAATTAATTATTGAAATAGGGAACGTGGATCAGAGAGAATTAATTATTGAAATAGGGAACGTGGATCAGAGAGAATGAATTATTGAAATAGGGAACGTGGATCAGAGAGAATTAATTATTGAAATAGGGAACGTGGATCAGAGAGATTTAATTATTGAAATAGGGAACGCGGATCAGAGAGAATTAATTATTGAAATAGGGAACGTGGATCAGAGAGAATTAATTATTGAAATAGGGAACGTGGATCAGAGAGAATTAATTATTTAAATAGGGAACGTGGATCAGAGAGAATTAATTATTGAAATAGGGAACGTGGATCAGAGAGAATTTATTATTGAAATAGGGAACGTGGATCGGAGAGAATGAAATGGAGAAACATTGTCAGATGGAAAAGAAATTGTTCTTTTAGCTCACATTTTACAATCAGCTTCCTAATCCTTTTGGCAAAATAGCACACATTACATGCTCCAAACTGCGGATTGTATTTACAAGGAAACTAAACAAATTAAATTAAAATTAGGAAGAATTCACCAACTTTGATCTGATTTTACCCTCAAAAGAGGCTTTCTACTTACTATAAAACAAATGCCGACCAAAAGGAGGAAGACAGCCACAGAACACAGAACTATGAGAGCAACTCCCCATCCGGGAACTGCTGCGCTGGCTGTCGTTGTTGTAGGTGCCATAGTTGCTGTAGTTGCTGTAGTTACAATGCCAAATCAATGGGAGAAAAGTCAGAAGTGAGTTAATAGTGCCTAAAGCAAACCTTTCACATTTATCTGAAATAAATCGTTGTCGTTGATCACTTAAGCAAAAGGTCCAATATGGCCTTTTATCTGTCTGTCTATCTACACTGAACACAATTAATAAATGCAACACTTTTTTGTTTCTGTCCCCATTTTTCATGAGCTTAGCTCAAAGATCTAAGACTTTTTCTATCTATGCAAAAGGCCTATTTCTCTCAAATATTGTTCATAAATCTGTCTAAATCTGTGTTAGTGAGCACTTCTCCTTTGCCGAGATAATCCACCTCACAGGTGTGGCATATCAAGATGCTGATTAAACAGCATGATTATTGCACAGGTGTGCCTTAGGCTGGCCACAATAATAGGCCACTCTAAAATGTGCAGTTTTATCACACAGCACAATGCCACAGATGTTGCAAGTTTTGAGGGAGCGTGCAATTGGCATGCTGACTGCTGGAATGCCCACCAAAGCTGTTGCCGTGAATTGAATGTTCATTTCTCTACCATAAGCCATCTCCAAAGGTGTTTCACAGAATTTGGCATTACATCCAACTGGCCTCACAACCACAGACCATGTGTAACCACACCAGCACAGGACCTCCACATCCAGCATCTTCACCTCCAAGATCGTCTGAGACCAGCCACCCAGACAGCTGCCGCAACAATCGGTTTGCATAACCAAAGAATGTCTGCACAAACTGTCAGAAACCGTCTCAGAGAAGCTCATCTGCATGCTCGTTGTCTTCATCGGGGTCTTTACCTGACTGCAGTTTGTCGTCATAACCGAATTCTCACATTCGATGGTGTCTGGCACTTTGGAGAGGTGTTCTCCTCACGGATTAATCTGTGTTTTCACTGTACAGGCAGATGGCAGACAGCATGTATGGTGTTGTGTGGGTGATCGGCTTGCTGACATCAACGTTGTGGATTGAGTGGCCCTTGGTGGCAGTGGGGTTATGGTATGGGAAGGCGTATGTTATGGACAATGAATCCAGGTGCATTTTATTGATGACATTTTGAATGCACAGAGATACCGTGACGAGTTACTGAGGCCCATTGTTGTGCCATTCATCCACGACCATCACCTCATGTTGCAGCATGATAATGCATTACCTCATGTTGCAAGGATCTGTACACAATTCCTGGAAGCTGAAAACATCCCAGTTCATGCATGGCCAGCATACTCACTGGATATGCCACCCATTGAGCGTGTTTGGGATGCTCTTGATCGGCGTATACGGCAGCGTGTTCCAGGTCCTGCCAATATCCAGCAACTTTGCACAACCATTGAAGAGGAGTGGACCAACACTCCACAGGCCACAATCAACAACCTGATCAACTCTATGCGAAGGAAATGTGTTGCACTGTGTGAGACAAATGGTGGTCACATCATATACTGACTGATTTTTGGACCCCTGCCCCGGTCCCCATAATACAGTAAAACTGCACATTTCAGAGTGGCCTTTTATTGTGGCCAGCCGAAGGCACACCTGTGCAATAATCATGATGTCTAATCAGCATCTTGATATGTCACACCTGTGAGGTGAATGGATTATCTCAGCAACTAAAAAGGTAGGAAACAGGAGGGTGACTAAAACATTTTACATTTGTGTGTGTCTCTATGTAAAATGTTCTGTATGTGGATATGTATGTGTGTGTCTGTATATGTGAGTCTCTATGTGAATCTGTTTGTCGGCATGTGTGTCTGTATGTGTATCTGTATGTCTGCATATTTGCCCTATGTATCCGCATGCGTGTCACTGTTTGTATCTATATAAGTGTAATTTTGTGTATCTGAATGTTTGTCCTTAAGTGTATGTGTATTTGCATGTGTGTGTATATATGTGTATCTGTATTTTCGCATGTGTGTCAGTTTCTTGTATCCGTAGGAGTGTCATTCAGTGTAGCTATCTGTGTGTTACTTTGTGTGTCTGTATTTGCACGTGTGTCAGTATGTATCTGTGCATCTGTGTCTGTATGTGTCTGTGTATCAGCATGTGTATCAGTGTGTGTATCTTTGCATCTCTGTCTGTGTATCAGCATGTGTTAAACGGTGTGTATCTGCATGTACAATAATTAGTGTTGTCGTGAAGTGTTCGCAAACTTTTTGCGAACGGTTCGCCACGAACTGTTAGTGGCGAACTCCGGTCAGCTGACACAGCCCGGGCAATCTCCAGCATACTCCCCCTCCCAGACCCTCCCACCTCCTGGACAGCATACATGTTGAAGCTGCCTTCAACATGGATGCTGTCCAGAAGGGAGGGAGGGTCTGGGGGAGATTGGCCGGGATGTTTCAGCTGACCGGAGTTCGTGGCGAACCGTGGTGAACCGTTCGCGAAAAGTTCGCAAACTGTTCGCGACAACACTACCAATAATCTGTATTTGTTTATCTGCGTGTTTGTAACTGTGACCCCTCCACACACACTGTCACCCCCTTCACCCTGCCACACTCAGAATAACTTTCCCAATCCTGTCATTCACCCATGCTATACTTACATCCCATTGCTCTGCCATATTGACCCTATTACTCTCACCTTTTCTGGCACTGTCACTCTTCCCCCTTCCCCCTTCCCCCTCTCCAATCTTGTCACTTTTATTCTCCATCACTCTGTCACACTCGCCCCCTTTCAACCTGCCACAGTCACCCTATCACATTAACACCTTCACCCCGCCCCGAACCATGCTACACTCACACTGTGGGGTGTAAATGAGACATGGAGGGACTGGAAAGGTTGGACAAATAGGAGGGGGGAAGAATTTAGTGCCCCGTGGTTTCTAGTTGCACCTCTGATCATACAGTTCAATGCAATGCAATGTAACTAAACCACATTATTATTGCCTAGGTTAGTGGTTTGAAAAAAATGTATTATATGTTGTGAGCGTTAAAATTATCGTTTAGTGACTGAGTGCGTTGGATGTTTGTTGTATGAATTGGCCCCAGCAGCATCCTATAATGTCTGCATGTTCAGGTGAGTGCAGCCTCTCGTTTGTATTAATATATTTGGGAGTCCAGGCCGACTCCCAGGGTTTGCACCTCTCCGTGTCACAGGTGCCTCATTCCAGGATCCTATTTAGCCTTGACCTGCAGAGAGTCCAAGGAGGAAGAATTTCCCAAGTAAGTGTATCGGTCTCATTAGTAGACATTAGGCTGCTAGAGTAGGACCTGCCAAGAATGGGGTACATTGACGTTGTGGCAGGCTTATACATGGTCACATACAGTAACTAATTAATGTTACCTAGGTGAGGTGTTTTTAAAATGAGCTATTACAATCTGTGATACTTGAAATTGCTGTTTAGTGAGTGAGTGCGCTAGGTATTATGTTATATATAGCTTACCTGAAGTTGTGTTACTTTGACATAATGATCCTGTATGGGATAAGAAACAATAGATTAGTTTTCAGAATTTTATACATACTCTAATTTATATATATTATTACTTTCTTCCAGTCCGGCTGGGTACAGGAAACAGAAGCTTGGGGGGGGACGGGGACACACAAAGGGGTTGGGAAGAGTAAGACAGAGGAGCTGGGGGGAAGTAAGACATAAAAAGGGGTTGGGAGGATGTAGGAGACATACAAAGAGGGGGTGATAAGAGACACAAGGAGTTTGTAAGAGATACACAAGGGGAGTGTAAGACACAAAACATAAAGAAAAAAAACAAAAAAATTATATTAACAAAATAAATATAATAAAAATAAATAGCTGCTCCCTTTTCAGTCCCTATCCTCCCCAACCGGCCCACTCTTCTACATTACACACGTACACAATGCATCCCTACACAAACACAGACACACCGAAATATACAATGCATCCTACACTCACACAGAAACACACAATACATCCATTACACACACACACACAATGCAGCCCTTGCACACATACACACAAGCACACAATGCATCCATTACACACACAATGCAGCCCTTGCACACATACACAAAAGCACACAATGCATCCATTACACACACTGCATCCCTTACATACAAAAACATACAATGCATCCCTTACGCACGCACACAGACGCACACACACACTGCTTCCTTACACACAGAAACACAATGCATCTCTTACACACACTGCATTACATTACATACACAGAAACACATTTTGCATCCCTTACATATACAAACACAGATTCACACAATGCATCCCTTACACACACACACACACACACAGAAACACACAATGCATTACTTACATACAAACACGCACTGCATCCGTTACACAAACTGGTATCCCTATACACTACATTCCATAAGAACACGCACACATTGCATCCTCTACAATAACACATAACACATCCCCTACACACAAACTCCACTCCCTGTGAGCGAACTCATGGGTGGGCCATGTATGTGGACATATGGGCGGGCATTGTGATGTCACATTGTGGGCAGAGCATATTGGGGGCAGCAAATTTTTGTTTGCCTACGACGGCAGAAATCCTTGTACCAGCCCTGACCTCAGATTACCTTCAGATTACCTCCAGTTTATCTCCAGAATATCTCCAGGCATACACTTTGAAGCAGCGGGTGTTTTTTACATTTGAGGGGGGTGGAGGGTGCCAAACACACGATCTGCCCCTGGTGCCAAATGCTCTAGTTATACCCCTGACATCAAGACATGGGCTCTACATGTCCTGTGGTAAGTGGGACCAAAACAGCAGCAAATCCTTTAAATTCTGCAATTGGATTGAGATCTGGGAAAATATTTGACCCTTGACAAAGTCTTTTGATCTTTTCAATTGCCTATTTTACTTGCTTCAAACACAAATATTTTAAGAACTGACTGTTCACCTGCTGCCTAATATATCCCACCCATGACGAGTGACATTGTAACGATATAATCAATGTTATACACTTTACCTGTCAGTGGGTTTAATGTTGTAGCTACTCAATGTTTATTGCTATTAAACTACCTGAATATATCTCATCTACCTCGTTCCTCAGGAACTTGTATTGATGGAATATATCGAAATACCTCTGACATGTAAAATACCGGTATAATTATAAAGGACACTGAATACCTCCAGTAGGACTTTAATTCATACATTTATCTCATGTCCCTGCCATGATGAGTAACACAAGAGACATATTTAAGTATCTTTGCTGAAACCCCACTATATATCCAACAATACGAAGGCTGACATTGAAGGTTCTGTAAAGAGATCTTCATATTACATTTGAATTACACTTAGCTATAGACTACACAATATAAATACATGATGACCATTCAGTGAACGATACAATCTTTCTAAACGATCACCAGACACAGAAAACTCACCAGTAAACTCGAGTGAGAGAATGAGCAGGATTGCGATGGAAGTGTTCATCTTGAGTTGATGTTTCCCAATCAATGTGCACACAATATTCTGCCAGACATTTAAATAGCTCTCTCTGAATACTCCCAAGGAGGGAGTACCTCACAGAGGCTGATCAGAGGAACAGGTTTATGCCTTGCCCATGAATCAGCTCCACAGAATATATCATCTTACTGAATATTGATGGAAGGCCAACGTCATCTTGATCTCGTTCAGTTTTGGAATCTAGAAGAATTGTAACATTCCTAACATAGCTGATAGCTATAGTGTATATTGATATGTAAACAGAACCTCATGTGCGACCATTCTTTCCAAATATTAGGCAACCCTTTTATTGACTAGATCCCCAAGTCTGAAATACTCGGTTGCTGAATTATGACCTGAGAACTGTCTGGTTAAGTTTACAGAATAAAAAGTTAAATAAATGATTATAGATTTACTCAAATAATTTTACACTTGCTGGATACATTGAAAATGTAGTATTGTTAATTTACTGAACCCAATAAAGATGTCATATTATAGTGATGTGGATTTGTCAGTATAACACAATATAGCAGTAACTGTTCACATTCAAGTCCTCTCTACATATCATTAGCGTGTATATAGCGCCAACATTCTGCAGGGCTTTTCAATTATAGAATCTATCATGATTTGAAGAGGGCAGATATATATATCTTTAGGGGTATTGCCCAGGGACACTTACTGGTAATACAACCTGACTAAGATCTGAATCTGGGTTTCCACTTCCAAAGCAGTGACGTTACTAGTTACAGTTGTGACCCCTGTAACTGTGGGTCGTACCAGCCCAGCACCCTCGGTTGCCGGGTGACCAGCAGGAGGTGGAGTGAACAGCGCTCACCCTCTCTGCCAGTCACAACAAGTAGTGTGGCCGAGCTGACTGGAGTAGAGGGTCTCACAGGAAGTGCTCACTGAAAGAGCAGGCACGGAGGGCAACAGGGGATTGACATGGGGGAGGATTGGGTGGATTGACACATGGAGGGACACAGAGGTTAATTGACACATGGAGGGACGGTGGGGATTGACACATGGAGGGACGGTGGGGATTGACACATGGAGTGACCGGGGAGAAATTGACACATAGAATGGACTCGGGGGGAATTAAGTCACCTGAAGGGGCTGGGGTAAATTGACACATGGAGGGATTGGGGGGGAATTGAGACACATGGAAGAGACACGGGATGAATTGACACATGGAATGGACTGGGGGGGAATTGAGTCACATGAGGGGCTGGGGTAAATTGACACATGGAGGGATTGGGGGAATTGAGACACATGGAAGAGACACAGGAGGAATTGACATATGGAATGGACTGGGGGGGGAACTGAGTCACATGAGGGGGCTGGGGTAAATTGACACATGGAGGGATTGGGGGGAATTGGGACACATGTATCAGGATTACTGTTTGATCCAGCACGTAGAACTGTATAGAACGGATGACAAATAAGTAACGTATTACCGGTCCTTAGAATGGCCGGATTTAACGTACATTGAATAGTCAAAAATACTAGCTGAGGTCAGGGAACACAGAAAGGGACACAGCGATGAGGAAAGCCAGGAGTCAGGATACCAGAATATAGAGAAGTCAATAAACAAAGCCAAAGTAAAAAACCAGGTAGAAAACTATAAACAGGAACGCGCTCTCAGACAACCACAAGGGAAACCATGACAGGGCACTGAGCAGGATGAGAACTGGGCCTAAATACCCCTGCTTTAGTTCTGATGACCCCAAAGTCAGTTACCAAAGTCAGTTACCAGGTTTCATTTGCATAATTGCTGCTCAGCATTAACCCTTCTGTGGATTAGGTTGCTGCTCGGCACAACTTTTCCTGTGTGGACAGTAAATGTCATTAACCACATTTCTGTAAGTGGATGAATATGTGACATTACCCCCCACCTGAAGAATGCCCATCGGGCAGGCAGGACCAGGCTTGAGAGGAAATTTGGCGTGAAAAGCCCGGATCTTACGGCCCGCATTCTGGTCAGGAGCCGAAACCCAGTAACGATCAGCAGGACCGTAACCTTTCCAAACAACCAAGTACTGTAAAGTGCCCCGAGAAAACCTAGAATCCACGATAGAAGATACCTCATACTCCTGACCACCCACCACCACTGGAGGGGGAGGAACACAAGGAATAGTATATCTATTGCAGACAAGAGGTTTGAGTAAGGACACATGAAAAGTGTTGGGAATCCCTAAAGATGCAAGAAGAGCCAGAGAGTAAGACACTGGATTGATCCTACGAAGCACTCTATAGGGACCTAGGAATCTGGGGGCATTGTTTCTAGCGAACTCGGCCCACGGGAGTAGTTGGGACCAATTGTCATGTGTGCTATTAAAACAACGCAAATAAACTTCTAATGACTGGTTAGCCCTCTCAGCTGTACCATTGGTCTGTTGATTGTAGGAGGAGGAGAAGGAGAGATCAATCCCCAATTGTTTACTGAACGCCCTCCAGAACCTGGACACAAACTGAGAGCCCCTATCAGACACAATATTGTGAGGGATGCCATGCAAATGGACAATTTCACGTATGAAAATTCGGACCAATTCTTGCGAAAATGGCAACTTCTTAAGAGGAATGAAGTGAGCCATTTTAGAAAATCGGTCTACAACCACGAGAATAGTAGTGAACCCAGCAGAGCTAGGAAGCTCAACAATAAAGTCCATGGATAAGTGGGACCATGGAATCTCAGGAACAGGAAGAGGCTGCAACAGGCCACAAGGAAGTGCATGAGTCACCTTAGAAACTGCACACACAGAACATGCCTGCACATATTCCTTTACATCTTTCCTGAGTGAATCCCACCAAAATGATCTAGTGATCGCGGCAGTGGACTTATTGATGCCCGGGTGTCCAGCAGTTATATTGTCATGGAACACTTTCATGATATTAACCCTTTCACATAGAGGAACAAACAGTTTACCACTGGGCGCCTGAGACTGGGCCTCCAGGATGGTGCCAAGCAGTGGAGAAGACAGTGAGAGGACAGTAGTAGCAATAATACACTCTGGTGGAATAATAGGAGATGTCACCTGTTCTGGAGCTGACTCATTATCAAATTGCCTGGACAAGGCATCAGCCTTGGTATTTTTAGAACCAGGTCTATAAGTAATGAGGAAGTTAAAACGTGAAAGGAACAGTGACCACCTAGCCTGTCTGGAAGACAAACGTTTGGCATCCCCTATATATGCCAGGTTTTTGTGGTCGGTTATGATCAACAGGGGGTCCTCCAAAAGATGTCGTCACTCCTTGAGGGCAAGAATAATGGCCAACAGTTCACTATTGCCAATATCGTAGTTGCGCTCAGCAGGAGACATCTTTCTGGAGAAGTAGCCACAAGGATGCAATGGTGTTCCCTGGCTTTCTCTCTGAGAGAGAACATCCCCTACCCCTGTCTCGGATGCATCAACCTCCAATATAAAAGGTTTACTGGTGTCAGGATGTTTTAGTATGTCCGCAGAGGCAAATCTTTGTTTAAGAGTTTCAAAAGCATTCACAGCCTCTTTGGACCATACCGTGCTACTAACCCCTTTGCGAGTCATATTAGTGATGGGGGCTATTACAGAAGAAAATCCCTTGATGAATCTTCTGTAATAGTTGGCAAAACCAATAAACCTTTGAATGGCTTTTAAACCAGAGGGTAATGGTCAGTGTAGTACAGCCTCTAGTTTTTTAGGATCCATTTGAAATCCCGATGCAGAGATGTTGTAACCCAAAAAGTGGACTTCAGGCTGGTCAAATATGCACTTTTCTAATTTACAATAAAGTTTATTTTTCAACAACGTCTGCAGAACCTGTTTCACATGGGAGTGGTGAGTTTGAAGATCAGGGGAATACACCAAAATATCGTCCAAATAAACCAAGACAAATGAGTAACTGAATTCCCTGAGTACATCATTTATAAAGTCTTGGAATACGGCCGGGGCGTTGCATAACCCAAATGGCATTACTAGATATTCATAGTGTCCACTACGGGGATTAAATGCCGTCTTCCACTCATGATTCTCTTTAATTCTAACCAAATTGTAAGCACTCCTAAGGTCAAGCTTAGTAAATACTTTAGCTCCCTGAAGTCTGTCGAACAATTCGGAAATGAGTGGGATAGGGTATGCATTTTTTACAGTGATTTTATTAAGTGCCCTGTAGTCTCTGCAAGGGCGTAACTCACCACCCTTTTTCTCAACAAAAAAAGAATCCTGCACCAGCTGGTGAGGATGACTTTCTTATGTGCCCTTTGCTCAAGGATTCTTTGATGTATTCCTCCATTATTTTACTCTCCTGGGGAGATAAGGCATAAACTGCCCCCTACGGTGGCATGGGGCCTGGAAACAGGTTAATGGCACAGTCATATGCTCTGTGGGGAGGCAATACATCGGATTGAGCCTTGTTAAACACCTCCTGAAGTTCTCGGTATTGTATGGGAACTCCAGGAGTTTGGGGAGTGGTAGTGGGAAGGTCAATAGTATCCAATCTCTTTAGTACAGGTTTTATACATCTCCCCATACACTCTTTACCCTATTCTAATATCTCCCCATTAGCCCAATCAATATAGGGATTGTGTTTACTCAGCCACGGAAACCCTAATATGATAGGACATGATGGAGAAGTAATAACCTGAAACATCATCTCCTCCCTATGGGAGGCCCCAATAGAGATCGTAATAGGGAGAGTAACGTACATAGCATAGTCAAAATACTAGCCGAGGTCAGGGAACACAGAAAGGGACGCAGCGATGAAGAAAGCCAGGAGTCAGGATACCAGAATATAGAGAAATAAACAAAGCCAAATTCAAAAACCAGGTAGAAAACTAATAACAGGAACGCTCTCTCGGACAACCATAAGGGAAACCACGACAGGGCACTGAGCAGGATGAGAACTGGGCCTAAATACCCCTCCTTTAGTTCTGATAGGCTGTAACCGGCCTTTGACCCCAAACTCAGTTACCAGGTTTCATTTGCATAATTGCTGCTCAGCATTAACCCTTCTGTGGATTAGGTTGCTGCTCGGCACAACTTTTCCTGTGTGGACAGTAAATGCCATTAACCACATTTCTGTAAGCGGGGGAACTGAGTCACATGGAGCGGCTGGGGTAAACTGACACAGAGGGATTGGGGGGGAATTGGGACACATGGAAGGGCTGGGTGGGCATGAGACACATGGAGGGGGTCCAGGATAATTCTTGCACCGGGGCCCTGTGGTTTCTAGTTATGCCTCCGGACGTTACCGCGGCTCTAACAAGCTGATAAATCTCACGTATTTAGATAATGTGCACAGTGAAAAAATTTGTTTTTTCAAAATCGATTTGTCCCCCCAAAAATGTAGTTTCTATGGTCTGAAAGTAGACCATGGGGCATTAATTGTATCCTTGCAATCGTTTTGAGAGTAAATCTAATATTATATATAGTTTGCAGTACACTGCTAGGTGCATTTTCCTGTCATTAAGGTCACAGGTCTAATGAGAAACAGAAATCAACAGAGTAAGAAAGAGAAGGAGCAGGTGAAATATCTATATTTATATAATATGGTGGTAGATGCAGCTACAGAGCTCATAAAGACCCCAATATTAATAAAAGGAAGGTATTTCACCCCTGTGTCCACACCAGCCTTGCAGCAAGTGGGGATATATGTATTTAAGTTATAAACTCAGTGACTGGATAGCCAATGACTAGAAAGGGGATGAGCGTTAAAATAAGTAATGAGGGGACGGGCTTAACAAATGACTGATTTATATTATTTTGTTTCTTTATTTTATTTTAATTAGTGGTGTCAGTTTAAATGGAGTTTAAATGTTGCCTCTTGTTGATGAATATACGAAGAATTGAAAAATAAAACACGTCAGATGAGTAAGTAGAATTTTTCTTTTTAATGGTGGTGTGGCTACAGGCTTAGGGACCCCTAGCCACCCAGGATGGTGGTGGGAGGAAGAACAACCGCATGTCTACCACATTGTTTAATTACTTATGGCCACCACCCATGGGTGGGTTGGGTTTAACTAGGTCCTGCCCCCTGAATATTATATTACGGAGGCCCCACTGACTCACATTGGGATGCCCTCTGGTTTATTTTATTATATATCTCCACATACAAGCCAGGGGAGGGGCATGGGGAACTATAAATCCCTAATTATTTAAACAGGCCCCGTCCCCATGGGAACAGGCATTTTGGTGAATGGGCAGCAATGAACCCAGTCGCTAGGCTTACAAGTTTAGTAGACATTCCCCTGGTGGGGCCACGGGGAGGTGAAATACTTTCCTTATCGTAATATGGGGGTCTTATTGACCACCATAGTTTAGTTTTATTTTTTTAATGTTATTTATTTAACTATTTAATGTGGCGACTTGCAAACAAGTGCTGGCTAGCGGGCACATCATTAAGCCTGGCATTGCCGAGGGTTATTGAACTATTTGCCCGCTGTATAAATATTATTTAAAATTTGCGAATGTGCATCGTGCCTCATGAATTTTCTAAATCCTATCATTTGTTCCGTCCTTCTGAATTTGTTTTTAGTAAAGATGAGAATTACCATTGTAGTTGGAGGTTAGTTTTTTTCTTCAGATATTGTCCAACCGTCGATTTGTCTAATATCCGGCGTAGTGAATAACCCCGTTAATATATTACCTATATTTATTCATTATTTTATGATGTTTTCTCTCCCATATGAAGGCTCACAAGATTGAATAAGGTGGTTATAGAATGATGAACAGACAATATTAGCGGGGGGTGTATGAGGTAAGACATTGACGCCGATAGGCGGGGTCGGGACATCTGTCCGTGGGGAGCGGCCAAAGCTGCAGCAGCCGTAGTGGAAGTTGATTGCTTCCTGTATTCTGGTATCCCCCAGCTCACCTAAATCTACGTCACGCCACGCTGAAAAAAACGCAACAGAAGCAGATCCCTCTGTCTCCTCCTGGCTGCCCCAGTTTACTTACCCGCTACAAAACGAGCTGGAAACTTCCAGCGCCAAGGAGATGGGAGGACACTGTCGAGGTTGAGGGTTCAACCAGACGTATGGCAGTAAAGGTACGATTGGAAAAGAGAAGAAGTATAAAATAGAGGAAAACTGAAAACAGGGTTAAGGTGGGGCTGGAGAGATAAAGGGAATAAATAAAGAGCTGAGAGAGAGGGAGAGAAGAGAGAGGGGAAGGTGCAGAGAGAGAACCCAGAGAGAGCCCAGAGAGACCCTAGAGAGCAACATACTGAAGGATCTCTTAAAGGGGCAAATAACGATATAATCCCTCTGGCAAGTCCTAAAACTGCATATTATAAACTACATAAAACAAGGAGTGATTTTCTTCCTCAGCTAGGCTTTTTTTGCAAGATCCTATTACCCACTACGTCACTACATAGTGCCCTCTTGTCTCTCTCCCACTGCTTCCTTGGTCCCGGATTGATCTCCTGATTCCCCCCCACAAAAAAATGAGGGGAAGGAAAAGGAGAAAAAGGGGAAAAATAAAAAGAAAAAAACCCAGAGAGGAGTATTGAGGAGCACTGAGGCGAGGAAAAGGGAGGAGGAGAGAGCCGAGAAAAAGAAGATAAATAAATATGGCATCTAAAAAAGCCCAGGAAGACTGGAGGAAAAAAAGATAAAAGAGATTTATCACTGGATACTTTTCTCCATCCCAACACAAGCCACAAATTACTCAAGAAAACACAGATGAAAACCCAGAAATAAATTACAGCTTAATTAAAGCGGTACAAACGGCCATTCCCATGACTGAAGATATTCTTACTAAAAACCTGGCTGCAAACACGAAAGAGTTAAAACAAGAATTTAAAATGATACAAGTTAAACTAGCTACTATGGAGGATAACTTTATCAATTAGACAACAAATATAAGCTTTGCCAAGAAGAGATAACTGAAACATAAAACAAAATAGGAGCACTGGAAGCTAAAGTCTGTGACACTGAAGGCAGATCTAGAAGAGCAAACATCAGAATTCGACATATTCCAGAAGAAATCTCTAATGAAAATCTGGTGAACTTCCTTCTGGAATTCTTACAAAATGTAATTCCGGATGGAGCTCCACACGACTATTTAATGGATCGCCGACATCGACTACCCAGACCCCAGAATGCTCCGGAGACATACACAAGAGACGTAATGGTTAAATTTCATTCATATCAAACAAAAGAGAGAGTTACGGCAGCGATGAGGAACAAGGAACATACTAGAAGAAAAATGTAAGAATCTATATTCCAAGATCTATCATACTCAACAAGAATGTGGCGAAAAAGCTTTCAAGACCTGCTACCTATCTTGAGACAGAAGGACATGAGCTATAGATGGGGTTTTCCTTCATCATTAAGAGTATCCTGGAATGGAAAAAAATGTTAATTTTGCCTCTAAAGAAGCCATGAAGAGTTGGATGGAAAAATCAAATATAACCGGAACACGTATAGTCAATCCATGAAGGGGTCTGGAAAAGTGTCCAGTAGTAAGCAAGGACTCCCCCTTTTTCTTGTTTTTCTTTTCTTCTCTACAGTGGTAAAATTCTTTACAATTGTAAAATGTTATGACAAATTACTAATGTCTTTGGAAAAATAACTTTCTTCTTTACAGTGGTAAAATGTTGCCTAGTGGTAAAACTTTTTATAACCGTAAAATGTTATGACAAATTACTGATGTCTTGGGAGAAATAATCTTTTCCCCCCCCCCCCGCTTTTTCAGCTTGACAACTAATAAGAGTTATTAAGGATCTAATCACTAATTCAATTGGGGGCGGATTACCTCTATCTATGGCTGTTTTTTTTTTCCCCCTCATTCTTTAACACAGAGCACGATGATTCATGTAAAATCTTTACTAATAACATAGATAACAGAAATAGTAGAAATTCACATGGTTATTCTATAACACTATCGATAGATAACAGAAAGGATAAGTGAAAGTGAGAGGAAAGGAAACAAGGGGGGGCTAGGGGAAATTTGATCACAAAATTAAATATCACAAATATTCATGAAACACGGAGGTATCAATAATGACTAATTCACGATAGGAAGCTTACAAGATGGAAGGACTCTCTCACTAGTTTGTAAGAACACTGGCTTAAAGGACGCCACTAGTATAATTTACCAATAAAGTAAATAATAGGGATCAATATTTTTTTTGTTTTATTATTTTTAAGCGTACCTCACGGAATAAGCACTAGAGAAAATAAGTATACTAATAAGGTTATATAGGCACCAATGAAGGTTTCACAAGTGTTTTTAAACACAATAGTATTTAAGGGGACAGCATTAGATTAATTTGCCCCAAGCTGGTTCTGCACCCAATACATACAGAGGGGTAAACTGGTAGAGTACCGAAGTAAACAGAACACTAAGGGACAGAGTATCTATATAAACCGTTTTTTTTTCTCCTCTCTCTCTTCCTTTCTTATCTCTCTCTTAACGAGAAATATAAAGGATATCAGAGAGAATAAGGGAAGAGAAGAAATGATGAAGGCCTGTCCCCTTGGGCAGGGTTCTTGACCCCGGCCATGTGTCCTTGTTGAGACACAGGTACCGTTGGGTTTGTTTCAAACCAACTATCGAGACAATGGCTCTAACCTTCAAGGTCATCTTGTTGGGTGAGAGGCCATCCTGTATTTTCTGGCTTACAACCAGAAAAGAAGAGTATGATTGTAATGTAAATGTCAATGTTGTGAAGTGTTTGTGCATGCCGATGGGAGCACCGGGAGATTTTTTATAGAATATGGTTAAAATGGTATCAGTAAACACTCAGGGCCTAAATTTACGAGCAAAAAAATCTCTGGTCTATGATTTTTTTAAGAATCAAAATGTAGAGGTTGGGTTCTTACAAGAGACTTATTGGAAGTTGATAGACAATGTAAAATGGGGAGGGACTCAATTTCCAAATGTATTTCATTCCTCCCTTAATTATAGGAAGAAAAGAGGGATGGATATTATTGTGGCAAGTTTCGTGAATTTCAAATTAATTTATCAATTTGCAGATACCGAAGTTAGATTTTTAATTATTGTTTGTAAACTAAATGAAATTAAATATACATTGGTTAACATATATCTGCCTAACACCTTTCCAGTGATTACTCTTAGAGACATACTCGAACAAGTTGAATCTATAAAAACTGGAGTGTGTATTATAGCAGGAGATTTTAACTGTGTTTTGGATCCAATCTTGGATAAGAAGTTTAGTAATAATTTAAAAGCCAATGTTTCTGTAGTAAAAATGGCCAAATCTCTAAACAAGTTGTTGAATGAATTAGATTTTTTTGATCTATGGAGATCTTCCTACCTGGAGAGACAGGATTATTCCTTTTTTTTTCGTGTATTGACATGGTGTGGGGCAACGCAATAGCTTAAGAAAAAGGTAGAGAAGATTGAAATCAGGGATAATACCTGGTTGGACAATAGCATTAATATCTGGACTATGAGAGACCAGTGGAATAATATAAATAAAGCTACATGGCGATTAAAAGATTATCTACTCCATAATAAAAAAATCTAGATTCACTTAGATCCCAGATAGAACGCTATTTTGAAATTATCATGCCCAATGAAACCTCATATCCTAATAACTGGTATTCTTTTAAAGTTACCATGAGAGGCAACATAATAAATTTAGAAGCACACTCAAATAGGAACAAAGGTCTGGACTTATTCCCTCTTTAGAATAATCTAGCTGAAAAAGTGAAAAAGAATAAGACGAATGCCTCTAGAGTTAATTCAGAAGCGATTAAGATGAATAAAGATCAAATTAATCAAATTAACATATTCTTTACATAATTACTATGGAAATCTTGGCTAATAAAATAAAATCTAACCAACATATAAGAGGTATAACTATTAAACACAGAGAGTTGAAACTGAAGCTGTATGCTGACAATCTAATTTTGACCCTTACCGATCCACTAAATCCATCAAGGCTTTTATGGAGGTAGTAAAGGACTATAGCGAAATTTCTAACTATAAATTAAATGAAGATAAAACAACTATATTAGATATTAATTTAAATACAGCCAGCAGGACACACCTACAATATTTCTATAACTTTAAATGGGCTAAAAACAGTATCCCGTATCTAGGGATATTTTTGACAAGCAATCCCTCAGAATTAATGCAGGTTAACTTTTTGAGCACCTTAAGGGACATGTCCAATGCTCTGAACAAATGGAAAAAAATAGAAATTTCTTGGTGGGGTAGAATGAATTGAATACAGGCATATCTCTTCCCTAAGTGGGCATACATGTTCCGAATGCTTCCTATAAGAATACATAGACCATGGCTCGACATGATTCAAAATTCGGTCACTAATTTTATTTGTAAAAAACAAGGAATCTAGAATAAATAAAATACTTCTGGCACAAAAAGTTAAAGAAGGAGGCTTATGTTTTCCTACCATTAATGATATATATCTGGCAAACGAGTTATTCCATATCTACCGAACCCAGTTAGAAAGTGTTAAGAACGATGGGTGGTATATCCTAGAAAGTGAAATATGTCAAGTACAAGACCTAAGTTCTTCACTCTGGTATAGTTCTGCTGATCCTAAAGTCCGACTCACAAGAAAGTTTAATAGAAGTTTAGATTCAATACTAGAAATCTGGCAGATAATAAAAAGGAAGTGTAATATAGATACCAAAATCCCCTTAACTCTTAAAATTGAATTCATACCATACTACGTAACAGATCTTAACTTAAAGAGTTGGATCCTTAGTGGTATTGTCCAGACTGACCAGTTGTTTGTAAATGATAAAATCAAACCATTCCCACAACTGAAGCAGGAATTCCGATTACCTAATAGGGAATTATTTACTTATTTGAGATTAAAAAACTTCTTAAACCAAAAGATTGAGCATAATCTACAAGTCGGGGCTAAATTGATATGTTTAATATTAAATAATAAGACAGTAAATAGAGTATCCGCTACAGCAATGAACGCTATTCTAAAACTGGATGCACCTCCTGTTATTACAAAAATGAGAGAACGAATTAAAAATAAAAAATAATAAGGAAACCTCTTGATAAATTGAGTTCTAAGCCTATTCCTTAACTCCCAGAAAATGCTATTTTACACTTAAATATTGATCCCTTATCTCAGAAGGATCCGGCTATTTATATTCATTTTACGAAAGCGGTAAAGATAATAATAGCTAGGAATTGGAAAAATCCATTACCCTTTTCTTTAGACAAACTCCTATCTCAGGTTACGTTCCAATTGGGAATGGAATCCCAACTGGACAAGCTATATGGTAAAGATCTGAAAGCTAAAGATTACAGAACCTTTTGGCTAGAAAAGCTACAAAGTGATTATGGTTGTCCCTGAGTGACAGAATATTCAGGTCTCACCCAAAGTTTAAAGGGTGGAAAACTAGTATAAGACTCTAACGTGTTCCTGGAATTCTGCGACCAATTTATAGAACTCCCTTGCTCTCCATTAGGCATGAAAGTTGTGCTATGATCTTTTTCATGATTCTGACTGAATTCTTAACACCATGTTTTATGTAAGTTAAATGTCTATTTTGTATGAAAATAATAAAATAAAAAAATAAAATAAAAAAGACCATATTATACAGATCGCACAATATATTCTAATAAGTCACCAATTCTGTTAAAATAATATGGTGATGAAGTTGGATGTATTTCCCTAACCATTCTTTATTTTTTTATTTGTTTGTAAATCTATAAACCTTTGTAGTGTGTATATTATTGTATTTCACATATGCTTTACTCTGTAACATCCTGTGTACAATGGACTATAACCTATGCAGTTGTAACTGTTTTCTCCTGTATTGATTGTACATCATTTTATCGTACTCCACTGATGCCCTATTCGGCCTCTAAGGCATGTTAGCTAACTAAAAATTAAACAATGCATAAAAAAGTAGTGCTGAATAGCCTCTTAATATTTCTGACACACTAGTAAAATGACTTATGACAGAGTTACATGGAACACACATAGGGACTGTTCTGCTGCATTTGGGACACTTGGGACATATGCTTTTATCTATGCTAAATCTTTTCGATTTCTTTATTATGTGCATAGTATGCCTGCTATCATGATGACACACATATAATAATTCAATTATTATTATAATAAGTATTCATGGAATGAAAACAGATTAATTAGAGAGCTATTAATTAGCACTTTAAATAAACACTTCCTGATACAGTCCAGAGGAAGGTTTAAAGCATTTACATCATAGATGACGTCTGCCATGGGTATAGTTAGTAATCCCTCGGGCATGTTGGGGTCCAGATAGGAATGAGTTCCATGTTTCTCTTACTCTGTTTGGCTTCCTTTTAATATGTTAAAAGAATTTCATATTTTTGGTTAAACTTTTAAAATCTTAAAATATCAAAGATCTATCATTTATCAATATACCAAAAAATATTAAAATATATTTATAAAAATATTAAATCATTTTAAAAAAGTTTAGCCAAAAAAACATAAAATTGTGTTTAAGAACAGGCAAGCACGAGAAAGCCAGTATGTTAGCCCAGTCTTATGTCTGCTGGCCTGGCTGACGGTCCATAAAATCAAATTGTATCAGAGATCAGACAGTGATTCTTTGCGTATTCTCACTGCCTTGCTTCCGTGTAGCATCCTTTGACATCAATAAGGAGATTACCTTTAGGAAATACAATTGCTATTTCATTATTGTATCCTATTAAGTCCTTGCTCACAGGCTAAAGGGTTGTAAATTCCAGGTGCCAGCCAGGGCTGAAATTATCCAAGTCAAAAAGGGTAAAAAGTCGCACTCACGGTCTTCCATAAAACTTCAGTTTGTTGGGTATGCATTAAAAGGTTGACGTTTCAGTCCTGCATCTAGAACTTTCCTCAGGATCAAACACAAAATACATTTATACAATCATGGCCAAATATATAAGTAAAAAATAGACTCCCCCAGTTCTATTGGGTCCCAGGCGCATGCAGGCTCCGTCCCAAAACATAACGTGCTGCCGCAGGTGCATTATTGCGGTCAGAGCATCACCATAGCAACACAGTATACACAATGCGTGCTGCCATGGTGACAGCTAAGCGTTCAAGGTAGTAAAGAAAGGAATAGATTACCCCTTAATAAAAACGATCTGTGATATCAGATATAAACCTCGTGCCAGAAATGGATAGAAATATAGTAATAAAGTGCTAAAAAGGATGATAGTGCATATGGAGATTGAAATAGTAACATATTAAAGTGACATGCAGAGTATTGTCATGGAACATGAAAGTGCTTGTGATAAGCTAATAAAGGCAATATATATATAATGTATAGCGAAATTGACATTTTGTTGTTACAAAGTGCCTGTGATATTTGAAGCGCTGACTCAATAAAGTGCTTCCAGTGACCGGTGCAGATATATACTTCACATTATGCACGATTACACAATATGTATTCCATGTATTTTAACAACATCTGTAAAGGGTACTGGAACCAGGCCCGGACTGGCCATCGGGCATACCGGCAAATGCCCGGTGGGCCGCGATGGCCGTGGGGCCGAGGCCGGCAGGGGATCTCCCCGGCCGGCCCCTGCAGGGCCAGCGCTATCCGAGCGCCGGCCCTGCTGTGTGCCTCCGTGGGCCGGTGGGGAGATCAAAGATCTCCCTCACCGGCCCAGAGGCATGTAAATAACAAGCAGCTTCGCCGGGTCCTCTCGCGGGATTCTGAGCGTTGCCGCGGCAACGCATCTCGCGAGAGTGAACTCTAACCTGCAGGTTAGAGTTCACTCTCACCACTGGACCACCAGGGAAGGCAGCATGGCTCCCCACCCCCCAGGGAGAACGGATCTCCTCCTCCCCCCCTCCCAGGATAAAGGTAAGAAGGGAGGGGGGGAAATAATTTTTTTTATTTTTTTTATTAGTAACACAG